GTTGTTTGTTTAAAATTTTACCATTTATTCATTTATTGAGTCAAATTACATGCTCTGTAAAGTCTGAAGGCAGAGACTCCCTGCTGCCTCTTCATGCTATTAGGAGATATAAATGGTGCACCTGGGACGTGCAAACCAATCAGGAAGCTTGGTGCAGGCAGGAGAAGGGGTGCTGTGGTGTACGTTCTCCTTAGACACAGCTGCAATGTTTCCAAGCCAGTATATATCTGTTTACTTGGTTGAAGTGTTCTCCTATACCCATTTTCTAATTTTCACCAAAGGCGTTTCTCATTTGAAGGCCATGGCCTTGTGAGTATTGGAAAGGTGTTTGCCTGGTAGTGTTTAATGGAAGTGATATTCTGCATGTAGAGAAATGAAAGACTTTGTGGTTCCAGCACCTGTACATCCGTTTCTACCTTAAACACAAAACTGCCTAGGACATTGTTATTTGTATTTAAGTACAAGTCTGAACGCATTACAACAGCTCAAAAATCAAATCTGTGATTTTCCACTTCACTGTCAGTTCCTCATAAAATACCATGTTTTGTTCAGTCCTTTACATTGTATAAGCCAAGTGATTTTGTATGGAAGTTTATTGTCCTGCATTGTAAAGCCGCAGGCACATTTCTCCTGGGAACCTGCTGTCATGATTTGTGTGTTGAAAAGAAAGGGATTTTAGTGTCTCAGATGTACTGATTCATGATCTGACTACTAGGGATTCTTGTTTGCCCTGGTATTGCTCTAGTTTATGTGATGCTGAAATTGTGACGAAATGAGGAGCACTGTGAGAGCAGCCAGTAAAAGAGCATATGTCCAGTAAAAATCATGGACAGAGACGTACTCTAAGTGGGTTTGTATTCAAGGTACAGAGTCATAAGACCTAAAATCAGTATTACCTGACATGTGAACAGGAACAAAAATTCATGTTAAATATACCTGAAAGCTGAGGTACATAAACCTGCCTCCTAGCTGTCAGGTATTCAGGATGAAGAATAAGTGCTGGGAAGCATAAATATGGACTAAACCAGGAATTTTTAAATGCTTAGCTTTCAGAGTGATGCAGAGGTGTGAAGTTGGGCAGGCAGAAGAGGTAGGTTCCCTGGAGAGAGCACGGAGGAGAGAGAAGCAGCAGAATTCCCACTGGAGTCCCTTTGTTTCTGTTGCCAGTAGCTAACATCCACCTGCAGCAGGCATAGAAACTGTGCTGCCTCCCTTAATCCTAACATCTGGAAGTGAGGAAGATCGAGTTCAACTGCTATACAAACAAAACAGTAAGAAGGGCCCACCTGGGTCGGGCAATAAGATGGTCAGAATCCCTCCTCTCGTGTCTGTTCTTATCCTCTGGGCAGCCATGCAGCGTGGAAAGGGGAATGAAGTCACAGGTGAGTGATGCAAAGCTGCGCAGAGAACCACAGCCTTTATTAGGACAGCGTGTGTTAGGTGTGGGATATGTCTTTGTGTGAAATAAATAAAACTGTCTGGAGAATGGGGAAGGTCACAGTGAACAGTTAAGAAAATGCTGTTGACAATTAACCGAATGAAACCTCAGCAAGCCAAAATAGAGCTTTGTCTCCAGCTCCTGGTCCCCAGGCCTTGTGCTTCCTCTGTGCCATAGATGAAGGAGTAGGGTTGTTGCCTTATGTGCAGAAATGTGTGAATTTTTATGAAAATTGTCATTAAAGGAAATCTTTGTAGGAAATTATATATGGAAATGTCCCTGGCAAGCTCTGAGAGATGCCTAAAATGAGATGGTAGATGACATGCTTAACTTTCACATATGTTGTAGGCTGCAATTTGGAAGAACCAAGTCCAATTGCTAGGCTTTAAGTGCTAAATTAAATCCTAATGTGTTCTTAATTTCTAGTTTGATTTATTTCAATGAGAAATACTGTGATTTTTGGCTGGGTTTTGTTACATATTTTTTAATTAAGTGGTTTCGTAAGTCTCAGTTAAAATCTAAGCCATATTTTTAATTCCTTGCTGGCTTTTCTGCTATTCTGCCAAAGCCACTTTTAAAAAAGCTGTTGCAAGAGATCAGGGGTTAGCAAAACCCTGTTTGCTGCTGTTAAAAGTCAGTGGCACAGACTTAAAAAAACTACAGTTTGGAATACCCGGAAAAATTGAGTTCTCAACCCATTTTTTCCCTGTGTCTTGGAGCCTTTGCTTCTTAACAATGCTGCGTTTGGCTCTGCCCCCTGTGAACCTGTTCCAACAGATTACTTCTGAGGTTACGTCAAGGCAGGAGAGAGACTTGTCCCTGGCTCTTGCTGTCCTCCAGCTAGAGGTTTGGCAGATTCCAGGTCATGGTGGCATTTCTGGCCCTGGAGCAGCTCTTGTGAGGCTTCTAGAACTGTGACTAAGTCCGTGGCACAAATGTTATCAAACTTCATTTGTTTTGTTTTGTTTTGTTTTTTGCTGATTTTTTTTATCAGGCTTTCAGGTACTGACTCTGTTCTGGATTTGGCTTCCAGTTCTGAGCAGCCTGCTCCTAACGTTGACTTTCCTTTCAGCTTCTAAATGTTGGTTTCTAATAAAAAAGAAATTGCTTTAATGTTTTTTCCTCTTGTTTAACATAATAACATTAATACTTTCTCTGCCAGTGCAGAAAACTAGTGATTGCTAAAATAAAAACTTGAAACCCAAAGATGACGAGTCTAAGGTAGCATTGCCAATGCCAGCTGATTCCTTTCCGCTTTGCTGTTGACTTCGTCTCTGTACTGCTGGAAAAAAAACAGCCAGTGCTACTTGATTCTGCTTGATAGTGCTTTTATCCCATAGATGGGGGGTAATAACAACTGACAGCCAATTCGCTAAGGAGTACAAATTGATCTAAGTCACATTGCTCAGCTGGAAACCGCTGTCAGCAAATAACTGAACTCTATGAGTGCCAAAATTACTTTAAACTGGATCAAAATGATGGTAAGGTTAGTGGTGCTGCCTTCTAGTCTAGTCTGTACCACCATAGCCATGTCTCAGACCTTCTCTCTTGGCTTTAGCAGCCTCATTCCATACCTAGGATCAGTGTTTAAGTATGAAATATGATTTCATATCTGCACTGACAGCTGTAGCTTCTAATTATAGACTGTGTCTAATTCTATACCATTTTGTTCTCAGTTTCATACCTGTATTTATGTTGCACATTGCTGTGAAGCCTAAGCCAGCTCAGCTGACTCTGGAATTTCTAGCTTTCTAGTGCTATGTCCTTGCTGCAGCCTCAGCTCTGCTCTGAAAACACTGATCTCCAGCGTTCTCCTTACTTGATTGTTTGCTTTGTGTTCCTGCATTGCTCTAACCATGGTAATACATCCACAACCAGTATTTTTTTCTCTTTTCCCCTCACCCTGATTGATATCCTAATTTTAACCAAGTAGAGAGTCCATGGATGGACATGGGCTTTCATGATCTCTCCGTCCTCTTCCTGGAGGAAAACCTGCTAAGTCACTTGGTGGAGTAAGCCAGCTTGAGAGACATATTGTGACCTATGGTGTCTACCCCATGCATTATTCTAAACTGTTCTTGCATGACAAATGGATCATCTTCTTTTACCGTTGCTATTCAGATTGTACATGTATCATCTGTTTAGCTGGAAAGCTAGATGTGATAAAAGCAGAGGAGTCCTCTTTAGTTTCTTCTTTTTACATTTTTCATCTTCTCTGGAAAAAGGTAAGCTGTACAAATAAGATAATATTTTAATTTATACATATTTTAATTTTATGCTTATTCACACTGTGTTAACTTCAGTCTGTTGTCTGGCTCTGGTCCCCTAAGAGTTCTCAGAAACAATCCTACCATACTCTTCAGCTAAATCATGTTTATCCTTATTAAAGCTTCTTTTGCTTTGACTGAAGGATGATACAGGCCTTTTTAATTCTATCCGATCTCTTTCCCAAATGGGACACAGGGTGAGTCAGCCCTAAGTATAAGGCTTGTATAATATCTCATTAAAATACAGCCTGGTGTCTGTAATATGGCTGTAGGTTGCTCACTGCTAATTCAGCTCTGTTTTTTTTTTTTTCCTTTTACTGCTCCCGATCAAGTACTTGAGTTTTAAGCAGAACGCACCCTGGTTTCAGAACCTCAAAAATGGAGTTCCATTCTCAGACCTTTGTGACATTATGTAGCTAATGAACTTAGCACAATTTTCATTTATGCTGAAGTCAGTGAATCGCAACATCTCTCAAAGGACCTGATCTAATATTATTTACAACAAATGCAGAGAGGCAGCAAAGAAGCTCCAGGAATACCTTTTGTGCCAGATACCTGAAAGTTCTTCCCGCTGATGTATGAGTACCCAGTTTTAGCCTAGGGCAGTGTCTGAAGGATGTCTTTTCCAGACATCTCCTGTGACTCGTCTGCCAATGAGTTGCTCATGCTTCCTTCCATTAATAGTCAGCAGAGCTAGATGAACACTTGGGCAGCGTGAGCCTCAAGTGGACATCTGAAGTACTTGGATGACTCTGCTCTGGAATTGCCTATTCTGTTTCACAATTCATTTCTATTAATGGATATTAATTGACACTTATTTGAGTTAAATTGCCCTTTTTCTGTGTTGTTCCTGAAAGCACTGAGAACTCTTTGAATTCTTTGCCAATATGCATCCTTTTATGACTGAAGCGATTGCTGTGACAAGCAGTCACTACTAATTCTTTCTTCTGTCCATTTTCTGAGGTGACGTTCTTCCTAACATCAGCCTATCTGGAAATCATTCATCTATATTGATTCTTTTAATGTTTTCTCATAATTTTTGATATTTTAAACTTATTTTTAAGTATTTAACTAATTTTTAACCATTTTAAAATTTAATTGCAGAGAACACGTGCTGCTATGTGAAAAGTTAGGTCTGATCCCTCTCTTTCCTTTTTTGTTTTCCCCTAGAAAGAGGCCTCTCTTTGCTAGGCTATCATCTGTGCAACTATAGCCTGACCAGAAACATTTTTAAAATGGTTGCCTACCAAACATCCTTTGAGAAAAACACTTCCTGTGGTGGATGGATACCATGGATGGTGTGTCCCCGAATGTACTACAAAACACAGTATCGTACAGTTGAAGTCCCTGAGACCATCAACTTTACATACTGCTGTGAAGGATATGAGCAAGTTGGGTTCTACTGCTCTCTAGGTAAGTTTTACTCAGATTAATTGTTAAAATAAATGCTTTTTCCGAAAGAGAATTCACTTGAAACATGTAAATACTTAAGTCAGTTCTTGGAAATAAATTCACTAAAAGAAGTAAGTCTGCAAAAATTCACAGTAAACTTAGTCCAACATGATAAGGAGTAGAGCTGAAACACTAATGCTCATGGTTCTTCCTAAATGCCACACTTATTCACAAATTCACCAAAATTCCAGGTGGGCAAGAAGAAGGTACTTTCTTGTTATCATTCACAGGGCTCATTATTTGTCCTAGTTCAGGCCAGCCGAGTGGGGCAGCTCATATATGCTTGCAATGTGCTGTATCTGCTCTCAATGTGCTTGCATTTACTGTAGGAACTTTTTTTCTTAGAAGTAATTTAGGTTGCAATTAAGATAGCATTTCCTTTGATTTGGAGCACTATCAGTTTCCTGCCTGCTAACCCAATTTTGGTGTTAATTTAAAACAACCTGAGGCTTTGGACAAGATGTTACCACCTGCTTTCCTACCAGAAGCATATTAGGATCCATTCTCTCAGGTACTGCCTTGGTTACTTAGGACTGTTGTTGAAAACAGTGACCATTTTAGTAGCTCTGATCTAACTTCTGAGTTACAGTAAGACTCTACTCTAGTGGACTTAAACATCTTTGACCGAAGATGGAAGCTTTTCCCACTTCCCACATGAGTATTACCACATTTCAACAGGCAATTCTTTACTTTTAACAAGAATTGACTCAGAATTGGAAGGCATTTTTTGAGTAAAATGGGTTTCTAGAGAATCTCCAACGGGTTCCTCTAACAAAATCCCAGTATTTGTTGGTCTACTAAAGTAAGTTTGTGTAACATGATGCGTTTCCAATAGCATTAAAATGGAGCAAAATGTTTTGTTAATCCTTTTTGGTAAAGCAGGGATTTACTTTGATTTATATTAAGTTCTTTAAGAACTTCTCTTATGCAGCTGAAGTTATGCTTGTAAAAAATTTGTTCAGGTAGCATTTTGCACTGGATTGTAGGTATTTGTTTGAGAAGACTCAAATTACACTCATATATATATATATATATTTAATTAAATGCAGCTTTTTCTTAAAAGTTGTATTGTATGATTTTAACCTGGACAGGCATCTCAGATTAGATAGGATAGAACTAGACTGTTCCAGCACCCAGAAAACTTCTACAAAACTTAATGTTGTCCCTGATATTGCTTTTTCTTTGTTTCCTCTTTTCATGGGAATTTGCATAATGTCATCACTATGACAAAAGATCAAAAAGGAAAGGTCCTATTGCAGCCTTGGATCTCCTTTTGGGTCACAAATTTAAGTGATTGAGTTCTATGGGAATGCCCCTGAACTCGTCCCTGCATTGAATCATATAATGACACATGCGAGGCTATGAGCCGTATGTCTTGTCATGGGATGTGTCAAGAAGAACATGTTCATCCTACCTTAAAATTACTTCAGATCATTAGAAAATGAACCTCCGAACATTTTTTTTACAAGATTCTCTCAACAGTTGGTAGAAGAATATTGTATCTAGCAGGAAAATGCTTTCAACAGAAAGACCGGACCCTTCTGACCCAGAAGACAGAAGTGGTCATTGTGTTTTATTCTTTAAACAGTTTGCTAAAGAAGAAGAAAATCATAATAAGGCATACATCACCCCTCACTATTGTATCCTGCAGTTTTTTTTGTCTCAGTGACTGTGGTGGAGTGTCAGCCAGGGCAAAATGTGACCTGCGGGTTATGGTATTTCCAGGCAGTCTTGCTTGACAAGCGAAGGACTCACCCAAAATAACGCGTATTTTCCAAACAGCAGTTCCAGGATTGGGGAAGTCTCTAGTATGTCTAATTAGTATTGAATAATCACTTCAGTAAGGCCCTTTCTATATACAAACGTGCACGCGTGTGTGCACATGTGTAGAGTAAATAAATTAACCCAATGACAAGGTTGAGAAGCAATTGGAGAAAACTGCTTTCTAATTCCCAAGTGCAAGGAAATAACAGTGTCAGCCAGATGTTGGAGAGTGACTGGCTAGTTCTGGTTGTCTCTATTCACACAAGAAACCCCTTGAGGAACTGTGATTTTCAAAGTGTTTCAGAACCTCTGGAAATCTTCCTGGTTGGATAAAAAGTCATCTTGGTTAACACTTTAAATATTTTCCCCCCAATAATTTCATGCCTTTTAAAAGCATCTCCTCAGAAACTGTAGGCCTGAGAGGTGTCAGTGAGTTTATTTCCTGTAACTTTAACAAATCTGTAAATTTCCTGTAAAGTTTAGCTGCAAGATTTCCAATCTGCCACACTGTGGATAAACGCTGTGGGCAGGTTTGCCTGTGAAGCACTGTGGTCACCTTGACTCTTTTCCTGTCAAAGTTAATTTTGGAATATTTTAGAACATAAAAGGATTTGTCTGGCCTCTAGGTGATTTCTCTGTTCAAATTATTCCAGTATCTTTGCTTTACAGGGCATTAGTCATATATATATTCAGTGAATGGTAATGCACTGTCTAGACATAGTCTTAAATAAATGATGAAAAGAGAAACTATGACTGCTGAAATTACTGCACAGCATTCTGCTGAACTTCTGTCACTTTCTTCTTGATGTTATCCACACTGGCATGCTCCCCATCCTAGCAGGAGCTGAAGAGGCTGCACCACCTTTCACAGTCATCTGGTTCTGGCTGTCCCCAGCATTTTCTTTCCAGAAGGAAACATTTACTCCTGCCTCGGATATGGCAGGCTTTGCTTTCTTGTTTTTTTACTTTTGGGGCAAAAATAACTTAATCATTACTCAAGTCGGTCTGGTAATTCTCTTCAATTGCCCATCAGTCTGTTAGGATAGTATTAGACATTGGCATGCATACAAAGAAACTGCTTCATTTATTTCTAAAACCAAGTCTCTAAAAGCGAGGAAGTGCTAGAATTCTAAAATTAGAATTAGATGAAAACAGCCATTGTTTCCTCTCCTTTTGCCTGTGCATGCAGACAAATAACCCTCTTCGTTCCCTGACCTGCTGCCTTGCCCCGAGGACCATATTTCCAAGGGCAGCAGAATCCCCCTAAAGAGTATCCCAGCAGTGCTCTTGGTTCATTGTGTGGTTCAGTGCTTTGCTAAGCCTCTTTCTGAGCAGAGAATTATTTATCACCTCCTGAGGTGAATCCCAGGGTGATGCCCAGACAGCACTTTATTTTCACACTGCAGTAGGAAGGGAAGGATGTTATCTGCCTTTTGCAGATGCAGCAAGGCTTGGATCTCATCATTTTGTGCCCACTCTGAGACACTCAGTATGTGATTCCTCTTTTTCACTTAATTATTTTTATCCCCAGAGCACTTGGTGCTGCCTTCAGCACAGTATGGAGTGTGAAGCCTGCTGCCCTTGATGGTGACAGTGAGCTTCTTCTGGAACATCATATATCTGTCTCCCCCCTTTGATGCCTGAGAGGAATGCAGTGTTTTGGTGCCCAGCCCTCTGTGTGACACCTGTGTGGAAAGAGGACTAGATGGAGGCTATGGCTGAGCCAGCAGTGTCACTCAGCTCCCACACTGCCTGGGACATACTTGCAGCTCTCCTGGGCACAGACTGGTGATTTCAGTTGCTGAACCTTGGATGCTCTGTCTCTTTCTCTGCATGTTTATGGAGAAAATGAGGGAGGAAAGACTATCTGTTTTCTGACTGGTGGGCCATTGGCCAGCTTGCTCCCTAGCTTAGTGGATTGCATAGCTCTGGGTGACCAGCCCTGAGCTGATTGAAGGGAAAGTGTAAATCAAATTTGCAAAGTGAGTTAGTTGCAATTAGGTGGAAATGTGAAGTGAATCCGTCCTTGTTTTCACTGATGCGAAAATGATGGCCTTTAGATTTTAGATAAATGGCTTGAGTGGCACCCAGCCAGAACTCAGCAGTGATTTCTGAAATTGCATGTGACCCACTAGGTTGCTTGCACCATACATGTCCAACCTGTTAGTTTTATGTGTTTATTGCCTTTTTTTAAATGTTTTAAGAAATATATAGAATATATATATTTAAAAATAACTATTGTTACTATTTACATTAACTATATTATATATTTTACATGTGGCCCAAGATAATTCCCTTTCACTCAGTGTAGCCCAAGCAAGCCAAGCTGTTGGACACCCATGGTTTATACCGTGATTCAATATTGCAGAAGAGGACCTGGGTGGAAGAAGCTGCTTTGAACCTCAAACCTGTTCAAACTACAGCTGAAATCAAGAGGCTTTCTAGCAGTAGGATCCTCTTGGGGGAAAAGCATGTGAAATCAGTCCCAGAGTCAGCAGAAGGTCCTGGTCCATTCTGGGAAGTAGAATAGGACTACTAAACTTGCTGGACACAGAAGAATCTTGGGTCAGATTGCACAGGATAGGATTTCCTTAACTGCTACCTGATGATGTTGGGAGTCAAACACTAGCTCTACTTAAATGCTACTCACAGCCCCAGTAAATCTGTGTTCCCTGATGGTGTGCATGCAAAGTATACACATGCAATATAAAGGTGTGGAAAGGTGCTTTCCCATATATGCTGCATACAAATCTTTAAAATACACATTCACTTAGCCTCTGAACTTCCAAAGGATCTCTGCTCAGTGCCTACACTCTTCTCAGCTTGTGGGCTTTGGCGGGTTTTTCCTCAGAAGTGTGGATTCTTGTCATTAAATGATGTTTGTTTTTCTTAATTATCCTTGAGAAGCATATTATGGGACCCCCAAAAAGCACAGATTAAAATCATTGGTTATAATGGACTATTTATGCAAATACAACTAGAAGCCCTATTGCAGAAATGGCTGAAAATTATACATGCTGAATTTTGTTTGTGGTGTGTTTTGAGCTTTATCCCCTGACTGGAGATTGAACTGGGCATTTGGAGTGCTAAAAATGAGATGTGTTCTGGAGTGGACTACAAAGTCAAAGCTCTCCGTATGCAATAAGCTTTAGTCTACCACGGATTTGCTGAGAAGGGAACCTGGCATGTGCACATAGCAGCAAGTGTCAGAGATTTAGTCTAAAACTTGACTAATCAACATCATTTGCTTATTTAAGAAGCTTACTTTGCTGAGGCTGTAAGACATAGATTCAGTATTCCCTTCTACTTCTTGGAAACCTCAGATTTACCTTTATTCAGAGCCTTCAGATGACAAATTGAAAACCCACAGAAATGGCATCCATGATGGGTCTGTAATTTGCTATAGACCTTTCGTGTACTGTGGACTTTGCTATTTCAAAAATGGTTTTCCTGAACTGCAGCCTTCTCCTACAGTGAGAATAGTTCTCATTTTTCTCCAAGCTGACTTTAATTACCTGATAAATTAATCAAGAGTTTGTAGGATCACAAATTTGTTAGAGCCAAACGAACGGAAATGGTTAAATGAAAACTCCAGATTTCTAGCATAGACACTACCTGTTCACTTTGATCATTATGTATTATTTGGATTAGTCATAGCTGGCATTGAGTATGTTTCCTGTCATGTAGTGCTCCAATTTCTCCACAATTAGAATCTATCTTTCTGTCTGTCTGTCTATACATTATCATTAATGGAAAATTATCAGTTCAAAAATTCTGAATATTTTTACATCCTTTAAAGGAAATAATGGCATTTAGACTGCTGTTTTTTCCTCATGAAAATCTCTTAACAGACGGACACATTTCTAAAATGTGAAAGGACATTTGCTGTAATTTAAACAGCAGTTTTATGGAAATAATTTTCTATATTTTTGTCCTCAGAAGTGTTTTTGTTCCTCAGCACTCAACAGGTCCAGTGTATTTGCCTCAAGACCTGGTATTTGTCCAATGGAGAATATGGAAACATCTGATTATTCTTGCACGTTCGATGCTGAATGTCCAGGGCTGAAAAAATGCTGCAGCTCATCCAAGGGAGCAGTCTGTGTGAATCCAAAGCCAGAGGGTATGTTACTGATAAATTCAAGGCTGCTTCTAATAGAAATGTGCTTAATTTTTCCTTCTGAGGGTGGGAGTGGGCAGAACAACTGTTACCATAGTTCTTTATAAAGCAAACATGGGAATCTGCCTTGGGTCAACTCCAGGAAATTTGGTTTCTGTGCTTGTGCCTGTGGGGCTGAACAGGGTGTGCTATGAGTCCATTGGACCTTGCATGGCTTCTCCTCCTCAGCTGGCACTGTTGCCTGCAGCGTACTGGAGCAGAAGCCAATGGCTGCATGCGGACCCTTGGTAATCTCCAAGTTAAAGCTTGCTTTGGTTTCTCAGAGCCTTCCTACAGCTCTGTAGCTTTCTATGGCATCACACCTCGGATGACTTGGCTCTTTTGTTTTGTACACTTCAGAAAGGATGTTCTGGTACAACGTGACAGTCCTGGTGAAAATGGATTTTAATGAATTAATTAGAGTGGATTCCCACCTTCTGAATCATTCACGTCTTTTGCATTCCATGGTACGTATGAATACAAGCGATCTCATGTGTTGCTCATCATGTCCACACATTTGTTACTCACTGATTACCACTTACTTCAGTCTAGGAGGGAACCCATGGTCCCACGAGCTGGACACCGCCTGGCCAGCTGCTCCTCATGTAGTTTGGGCCAAATGTATTCCTAATTGGTGAATGTCAGCCTCATCCTCATGGAGCTTAAATAAAATTGATCTAGTAGCTCCTTAAGTAAATTTTTCTGGTCTTTGCCAAGGAGCAGAGAAAGCTTTCATGTTCTGAAACAGAGTTTTCTTCCTGTCTAAGCAGTGTGTGCTGCAGTTCCAGCTCAGCTTAGCTTTGGGCTTATGACAGACTGGTTCTGGATTTCATGATCTGCAGGGGCAAGATACTTTTGTAAAATGTGATAATAAGAAGAGCTCATGTTGCTCAAATACAGACCTAAATATTGCTGCTTTCCTGAATTTACTGAACTGGTGCTTTTTACACTCAGTTTCTGATGATGATCATTGCATAGGTTATGCCTTATTGGCATACATCTGTACTGATGAAGATTTGTTCACCTATTTTCCAGATTACTGGTGCATTACAGCCCTTGAATACCTCTGTGCACCATATCCAGAGTAACTATGCAGAAATGTATGCTGGGACAGTGGCCTCTCAAGTTCTGATTGGACTGCATCAACCAGCTCCACTAGCAGAGGTTTCTTCTTCCTTGAAGAACATGGTTAAGCGCGTATATGAAGTGATTGACACAGATGTGAAAGGTTATTTATTATAATCCTGGCCCTGGGGGAAGCCTTTTCAAGGAGTTCCATTTCACTTGGGATTTTATCTGTATGACTATCAGTTATAGAATCACAGAATTATTAAGGTTGGAAAAAATCACTAAGATCACCCAGTCCAACCATCAGCCCATCCTTACCGTGCCCACTGCTCATGTCCCTCAGTGCCACATCCACATGGCTCTTGAGCACATCCAGGGACAGTGATTCCACCAGCTCCCTGGGCAGCCTGTGCCACTGCATCACCACTCTTTCCGAGAAGACATTTTCCTAATACCCAACCTGAATCCATGGGTTTATAGTCATACTGAATCTTGTAAATTTTGCAAAGATTACTGAAACCACATATTATAGGGTGAAGATAGACTTGTAGTTAATTTTGGAGTGAATAGTTTGGAAGGCATGATCATGCTTCCTCAGTTGTTGTTTTTTTTCCCCTCTTACTAGGTATTCAAGTAGTCATGTTTGTAGCACAAACATTAGTTGTATTAAGCAGTCTCTTAAGTGTTTGCATTGTTCTTGGGAGGCAGATATACTCTATTAAATAAGGAGTATTTGTAGTCTGCTAATTACTGCTGTTTATTAATCTACTTCTTTGAGCATTATGTAAGTATTTAAATGTGTTTTATTATTGCATAATTATCTGAACATCTTCACCCCTGACACGCATCCATAAATACTGTTTGTCATTAGTTCTTATTCTGTATTTGCTGACTCAGTCAGCATTCAGTCTGATCTCCGGGCAGATTTTCTTCCTCCATCACTGACTTCACTCCGGTTTGAATGACACCCTGGAACTATGAGAAAGAACTGCTAACTGTCATCTTAATCCAAACATGCTGAGTAAAAAGTGGTGGGCTTATAAGTGAATGGGGGCTGGTTTCAGGAAAAGGCAGCATTCTGCTTTCATAGAATCATTAAGGTTGGAAAAGACCATGAAGATCATCTAATCCAATCATCAGCCCATCTCCAACATGCCCACTGACCATGTCCCTCAAATTCATATTTAATTGCAGATATAAATCAGAATTTGTATCAGCAGTTACTACAGATTTACACTGAATTTGTCCTAGTCAGAGCAGATCAGCCTTGATGCTGCTATCAGTATCTGTATGAGCTGTATTCTTCTTCCTAGATGTTGATGAATGTTCCTATGCAGAATTCAATGCTTGCCCTGAGCAAAATTCCTGTGTAAATATGGAGGGTTATTACAGCTGCAGCCCTGAGCACCAAGAAGCATATGTCAGCCCTCTCCAGCTGAGCACAAGAAAAGATGGTAAGAAAAGTAGGTCTCACCTTGGGAAATACTGAGAATGCTTCTGCAGGAACCACCTGCTTCTGGATCTCACAGGACCATTTCTTGTTGGCAGGAGGTGCTGCGTGAGCCATCTTGCTGGCTATGTCTGATGAAATGCAGTGTACTTATTTCCAAGATCCAGGCTGTTTGTCATGCCTCACCCTCAGCTGTCCTTTCTCACCTGACAAAGTGTCTGGCTTCAGGCCCTGACAATGTGTCATTCATTGTCAGTACACCTCCCCAGCGCCATGGGCAGCTATGATTAGTGACTTTACCTGCACTTGAAGTCTCCTTCCCATTCTATGTGACTGCAGCCTGGACTCTGGCATGGTACAACCCCATCTTCAGCTGCTGCTCTGTTGCTGAGTCCTTTGCTGGAAGCAGCTGGAGTTGGGCAACATGAGAAATAATTCTTTCCAGAAAAATACATAGGCATGCTCAGACACCAATAGGCCTGCTAACAGGCTTAAAGATAATGTAATAAGTAAGCATTTGCAGATTCAACGATTTTGTTAGAAAATAAATTTGCAATCCTTTCAAAAATTAAGATAATGTATTGATTTATCCTTATGTGATATGAAAATATGTTTATTTTAATTTCTATTTATAATACTTCTATTGCTGCTTTTCAGCTGCTGGAAGTGCAAATGATATTACTTTAGATTTGCTTTGTTAGGAATACATTAACCCTTTGATAATGCTGTTTCCCCCTTAGGCATGGCAGCATCCACTCCAAACTCAGAGTTGGATCCCATTAACATCAGCAGTAGCTCTCCATCCATAAGTAATTCAAGTCTCTTGTCCACAACTAACCAATCTACCGATGCTGGATGCTGTAAGTGACTTTGGATTTGAATGAACGTTGCCTTTCTTTAACTCAGGCACTCTGTGATCCCTTTTTTTCTGGAGCTGGTTGAGTTACAGGAGGGCGTTCACAAAAATGGTGGTAGTTTTGGAAGAGGAGGTGATCATGCTGAGCTCACTGAGCCACTGATGCTTGGCAAGCTGTCCAATGGCAGGACCCATCATGGGACTTGGTCTGGGTAATTCAAATCCTGCAGCGTGAGGAAGCATACCAGCAAAGGCAGTGGAAGGCTGGCACCACTTATCGCTGGGCCCTACTGAATGCATGTCCTGAGCTTATACTGTATAGAGGAGCATGATGGAGGCACTTGTCCTGCTACCAGTGCAGAAGTTCCTCCTGGCCAAAGACTCTGGGACACAGTCCATGGAGATGGGTCAGGGAAGCTCTTCACATCCACACTATGTTGGAATTAGCCTTTGTGAATACTCCCCGCCATGCATTACAGCTGTATGGGGGACTGTGATAGAAACAAAGCCTGAAAGATTTATCTTTATATCAGTGACATGGGTCCTTTCAAATGAGAGTGGTCACAATCTTTTTTTAACAACATCCTGTTCTTCTTGCGGGAGGAAATAGCTGTCAGTAGTTCTTTGCCTAGCTCACAGAGACAGGCCACGTTTTCTTGATCTTCATCTCTGCAGCTTCTGATCTGAGATGTAGCTAAAGAAGTTTGACTGAAGTCCCTCTAGAGGAGGGAGGCATCACCTTGTGGGTTTTTGGCAGCCCCCTTACTCAGGGACCTGACAACAGTGATGTCCCATTATAATAGCTGAGGAAAACAACCCATTTTCCTTAAGGCAACCATTAGCACAAAGGAACAGATGCTGTGGAAGCAGCGTACTGTGGTCTCCAGTTTAGCATGTGGGCTGATATTTGACCAACCTGACCCTGTCTGTTTATGGGAAATGTGTCCAGTCTAACACTGTCATCTCAGCTCTCCCTCTAGTTAGTGGAGGTAGAAGGGCTCTGCTAGAGGGCAGTTCACCCTGCCCCATTTAGATACCTCCTACTACTTCAAGGAGAGGAATCACCTCTGAAGGGCAGTCTTTTCCCCTTGACATGACGGTGATAGCATTGGACTAGCATGACATAAACAGGTAAAATACATGCCCCCACTTCACTCCCAGCTTGTAAAAGTTGCAGACAGTGGTGTTTTTCCAGGCATAAATCAAGAGAGCCTTTGCCTGAGGGGGTGCAATTTGATGATATAAGTAACAAGCAAAGCAGATGTAAACTCACGTAGAGTACACAGATTCACTCTTACAAACTTGTTTCTTCTGCCGGAACCTGCAGCAGTCTGCCTGATTATTAGTGTTACTATTGATTCAACAGATGTATGTATGGTGAAGGGAAATAAAAACAACAAACATCCAGCAATTATTCACTCTAGTGAGATGGCTCATGGATGAGCGAACTTTGTACTGTAAAAGGGACAAATCTGTCTTGACGTGATGTAAAGAGGAGCTTCCCCTATTGACTGTAAAAGTGCTTGTGTATAATGGATTTAGGATAGCGGTGTTTTAACGATTAAATGTCATTTTTGAATGTGTTGACTCTTCCTGAGATAGATCCCTCTGCAATTACAAACCATCGAATCTTCAGCGTTACCAGCAACAGCTTTGAAATGTCCTGGCATGTCACATCTACTCTAAACCATACTTTCCAAGTCCAAGTGTTCAGGGACAAGGAGATTGTAAAAAACATGAGAACAGATGAAGTGAAAATGAGTGTATCTGGACTGGAAGCAGGTGTGATGTATTCAATAGAGATCAGCTACAAACGTTGTGGAAAATCCATCCTCTCCCATCAAAATGTTAAAACAGGTAAATAGATCCTTAAATATATCTTTATGGGCCTGATGTAAGTGCATGGGAGGCTATAGCAGAATACTGGCTTTATTTTCTTGGTTCAATCCCAAACTCTCACTTGCCAACAAAGCAAACAAAATATAAGGAGGTGAATGAACTTCTTTTGAATACTGTTATTTTTCATCCAGCTATATTTCTCTTAATATATACCTGCACATTCAGGTATATATTTGGGACTAAAAAATGCCTGAAATTCACTTCCAGATTTAATCATTTTACCCAGTCCATGCCAGAATCAGGTGTGCTGACTGACACCATGTTCTTGTGGACTCTCTACATTTCGTATTTTGGTTTGGGTGCATCCATTTTGACTGAATCATCTTCTCTGATTTGTCGTTATGCGTTTTGATGTTGCGTACCACAGAGGCTAAGATATTTGTTGCTACTGTGAGGATTCTCAACTACAACATCACCGAAGATCTCCATGATCCCAGCAGCTCAGCATATGAAGAATTTTCAAGGCTGCTGCTTACAGAGGTAATGTTAAAATGTCTCTAGGTAAAATATTTTTCTTCAATTTAGAATTTATTTAAGGTAATGAAGGATTTTGTGCCCAGCTGAAATAACCCTTAGAAACCATAATATTGTTTCCTATGATCTTTCTTTGTAATTAACACAAAATCCAACTGACGAAAGAGATCAAATCCTTGGTCTTATTAGCAATGGAGACAAGAATTTTCCCTTACAGAAGAGTAAAGGAATTAAAAATCCAGGTGTGTCACAAGGACTCCTTTTCTTGGATCTTTAGCAGTAAACTCTCACTAAATTGACTTGAGGCATTCTAATGGATTATTGAAATGACAGCGCTGGCATTTGTTTCAGTGCTGTCTTCTCAGTAAGTGTTGGGCTGCTTGCAAAGTTTTCTTTAAGGAAAAGTGACCGAGTCAGGCTTTCTTCTCCAGCCCCATTCACTGTATGTGCTCATGCAGCCAATATCAACTCTCAGGTATAGTCAGCCACCAAGGAGGCCTCAGTCATCAGCTCTGTTTCCAGTGCTCAGCTTCCCAAGCCATAAACATATGTCAATATAAATCTGGGGGGAAAAAAAGAGCATCAACAGTGGAGCTGTATTTCCAAAGACAGTCCAGAAGAGGTGTTTACTCATTAGAAATTTCAAGTCTAATCTCTTGATGTAGTTTTATTTTCCATAGTGCTTGTTTTTGTTGCACAGGAGCATTTTTTTTTAGTGCATCTCTTCTGAGGCTGACTCAGACATAATCACATAATCAGAATTGCACAGTTGGGAAGGAAAGGCAATAATGTCTGTCTGTGTTGTTTTTCCTGCACTGGGAGCACGGTATCCCCTTCCCTCTTTCCTCTCTCCTCTTTTTTTTTTTTTTTTTTTTTCCTTCTTTTTTTTGTATCCTTGCCCAGATTTGAATGTGGACCACTTAAATAGCTTGTTTGTAGGATTTTTTTTGAGCAAACTGGCTGAATGAGACCGAAGCTGGTTTGATTTATAGTGCTACTTTGCACACTCAAAGTCATGCTTTCAGCTGGAGATGGGAATGAAAAGCTCAAACACACACTCAGCCTGCATCTTGCAGTTGGGTCTTCTAGTGGTGGTCACATTCAGATTGCCTACTGGGGACAGCCCCTGGCCTGCACTAAGTGCCAAAGTCTACCTGAATATTGCCTGAGGGACTGTAGCTGTCAGATGCCAAAATCACCGAATTCCAGCTCCTGGGAGCTCTCCCTCATTTCCTATGTAGCCGAATATAGGAGAGTCTTGGGACATGAGAGCTTGTGTGACCTGCAGAGCTAACTTGAAGGGTGTAATGAGTGCAAGCTTATCTTGTAAAGCATGATTAGTTGGGGCAGAAGGAATTGTGCTTATTTGAACCAGAAAAGAGTTTGGTTTGTAAGATAAGAGGTAAGATGTATATCATTTTCAAGAGTGCATCAAGGAGCTACACACTCCTATGTACCTAAATAATAACTGAAACACTTTGAAAATTTTTCTTTTTACCACATTTCCTACTAATGTTTAGGAATGTAAGTCTTTAGAAATGGTACCACCATAGCTCAGTTTTAAAAAGCAGCTATTGCTGCTGAGTTCCTAATTGCCAATGCTTCTCTAACTCAACTCAGATTGGGAATTCCTTTCCACCCAACATTTCTGCTTTATACGAATCTGGGAAACTGAAAGTGCAGATTGAATCCCTGCGAGCTGGGAGCGTCATTGTGAGACTCAGAATTGCAGTGCAGGATCCTGGGTTTCCAGTGAATGCCTCCTCCTTTGCTCCAATGCTTTCATACTTGTACAACGACTCCGTACTTTTGGTGGATCAGCAGAACTCTACAGTAGAAGGTAATTTTAAAATTATTATTATTTTAATAACAGAACAGTATTTGATATTTTCATTGTATGCAGCATCACCAGCATTCTACCTGAAAATAGGGAGACAAAGTGTGCAGAGCTAATCATGGTTTGTTGGAGGGGAAGACAAGAAGGAGCATCGGCTGTCCTCAGGTATCTGCAGGCAACACTACCCTCCACAATGCTCAAGGAGCAGAGGATTCCATTGTTTCCCCATTGATTTTCCTCTCTTCTCTCTGTCATCTGGGGGAATTTTGCTGTATTTTCCTTGCCCTGAAGTGAGGACAGTGTTACTTTGGAGTATTTGTAGCCTTTAGATACTCATGCCTCCTAGGCAGTTTCGTACTTCAAGGCTGCGGAGCTGAGCTTGGGCCAGGGTTTAGGAAATCTAGCTGAAGAAATTCCCAAATGTCCTCTCAGTGAATAGGACTGAAGAAACACGTATGGAATTTAGTTAAATTGGGCCTTTGTTTGATCTTCAGTAATCACCATTTTTATCTACAAAGGACTCGTTTCTGGCTTCAGGTTTCCCAGCTGGCAGAGCCAGCCAGAGCTTAGAGAGTTGCCAAAGTCAACAGAATGGGCTATTCTTCTCTCTTGGTGCACTGAGCACTTAAAAGCTTATTTGCTGTGATCAGGGAAAACTCCCTTTGGAGTTGCAGAGCATATGGATGACAGGAAAAAACAGAAGAGAAATTGCACCTGAAGCCTACAAATATCACAGCACCAGCAGGAACTGAATTGCAAGATGCAGATGTGAGCCAACATCCCTTACAAATATTGATATTCTCCTGGCTGCACATGAAGTCTGAGTGTGGAGTGTGCAGGAGTGGAGAAGAAGGCAATATTTTGGGGATGTTTTTTAATTGCAGAAAGCCAGATGGCTTCCAGTAGCAGCATTCTAATCCATGAGTGCAGCCAAATTCTTCAATCTCCTTTATCCTCCCTAGGGCTACAGTAAAGGTATCTATTTCCTAGCTATGCCCAAAGAAGCACTTGTTTGACATGAGTTTCTTAAAGTCAAATGTGGAAAATAAGACCAAGGAGTGCAGTGCTTGAGGAAAACATAGAATCACACAATGGCTGAGGTTGGAAAAGACCTCTGGGTCTACCTAGCCCATCCCCTGTTCCAACAGGGATACCCAGAGCACGGTGCCCTGGGCCATGTCCAAGCGGCTGCTGAAGATCTCCAAAGAGATATTGGAAGATCTCAAGGCTTTCTCATTTCCTTACTTCTGAGAATCCTGGAGTGTGCCCTCTAGTAGTAAGACCACACAGTGTTCCTCTTACATATGTAGAGCAATGCCACCTGGACCTCTGTGGAGCCTGGCCACCAGTAGGCTGGTGTGCTTGGCTTAGTGACAGTGGCAGAGCAGGGAGTTTGCTTTGGAACCGCAAAGATGAAAAGTCAGAAGGGACAGAACAACTTCAGGGAGTGGCGTAGTTTTGCATCCCTCTTTCTAGTCTCATACAATTATGAAACTTTCTGCCAAGATTAATTGAGACACTGAAGAGGCTGTCTGTTGTATGAGGCATGACAAGGAAAGAGAAGGGGACGTGTGGAGTCATGCCCAAGGTCAATATAGCAATATCATGTCCTGGGTAGCACCAGGAGCCAATTCCCGGAGAAGTGAAACAATATGGCAGGTGCAGGAAGTCTGTGTGTGTCTGTGCATGTGTGTGTGTGCACGTATACAAGTGCATGTGCTAGCACTATGGAGGACAGAGAAGACAATATCAGTGTTTGGCCTGATGTGTAGTTGAATGTGGTTTCAGAAGTGAAGTCTGCTTTAAAAGCCCTGCTAGGTAATGGGAAAGAAAACCCTCTGAGCCAATGGATCCAGTGAATGTAACTTACTTGGCATTAGCATTTGAGCATCTCTCTGATGGTGTCTGAAGCCATCAGGAGTCACATTTACCTCATGGCACAATAAGTCATGAGGGAGAGCACTTCCACTGCTGGTGTTGGAGTCAGTCCTGTGTGCTCTTGCATTCCCCTGCGTGGCTCAGGCTGTAAATTAATACCCAGATGCTGGCCACAGTCACATGGAATTACCTAATGGAAACAATCATGGATACACCAATTATCTAATGAGGAAGAAGGAGAAAAGAACTGAAATATGAACTGGGAGGAAAGGGGAAGCCTGTGTGCAAGCAAAGAGATGCACGCCTGTATGTGCATGCACACATGCTCTGTGCTTTCTCTTTCTAGACTGGGGCTTTCCTTTGTTTCTGAGAATTAATCTCTGTGACTAATCTCTGCATATTTGCAGAACAAGTACTTGCAACAACACATTGTTCAGAACAATTTTCGAGCCTCTGATCAAAATTATTTAACCCAAGAGATGGCACTCAGACTAGTTTTCTGCTCTCTGCTCAGAGGCAGTGAATGTATATGCTCAAGTGAGTGCACACAGGGAGTGGTCACATGGAATTCAGTGGGATTGTTCATATGCAAAGCGTTAACTCATCCTTTGCCTGTGTACTGGAACAGTGTGCAAGTGGTGGTATGAGACTCCAGAGCAAAATTCTTCAGGAGTGAAGGCACTCAGCCATAAAACTGATCTGTGACCCTATGGGACAAGCATCTCTAATGCATTCACAGTGGTGGAAATCAGACTTAAGAAACACCCTTATAGCATATTGATGCCTTGATGAGCTAGGGTGTTTTTTTATGAGACTGTCCCAGAGGGAATCATGCCTGTTTAGTGTTATCTGTGAAAATAAATTATTTATAAAAAGAGTTTTTTTTCCCCTAGCACTTCCTCTGTTAAGAGATGAAGAGTGCTTACTATTTGCATTTACCTTTTATTTGAAGCAGAAAATGATTTGGATTCAGTTCCTATTTACTATTCTAGCTCATGATAGCTAGTGGTAACAGAACTATCCATTACTAATGGAGGTATGCTATGCAGAACTGTGTATTTATGAGGTAGCCCTGGTACAGACACACAGAATTTTTCTCACTACAAGTAAGCGTTTAATTCTAGAACAACAAAAAAAGTCTGAAAAAAATCAGTACCTGGAGAAGATATTTTTAAGTGTACAAGGACAAAGGTTGATTTTTATGTGACAGGACAACAACGCCGTTAGCGTTCTGCATCACTTAGAGCTTGTCTGTCAGGCAAATGACTGATCACATTCTTAAATTCAAATACTGAATAAAGGACTTCTTGTGATGATTTCTAGCTCAACGCAGATAGGGGGCTGTCTCACTGATCTCCTCATTTTTATCTTACAGACTGGGATGAATGTGCTTCTCCCACCGACAATGACTGCTCCATGTTTGCACATTGTATCAATCTGATGGGCTCATATCTCTGCAGATGCAAGACAACCGTGGACACCAATCCATCCCGGCCTGGAAGAAACTGTGAGGGTGAGCAGAAGACTACCATGTCATTTCCCTTTGCCATCGAAAGTTGAAATAAGTTATAATTTTCTACCTGTGCTTTTATTGCAACTTTTTATATAGCTCACAAAATATGTAGAGATGCACCTTTGGAGTCTCTGGCCAAAGAAGAACCTCTCTATACGTGAAAGTAGGACTCACACATTGGTTGTTCTGAAAGTAATGCCTCCTATTTATTTCCAAGAAATTACAACATACACAAACAGTACAATAGCACTATTTGATAGAGCAAATTCTCAGCTACAGAACAGTATTTGTCAACACAGTCATTGACATTAGCTCTCATTTTTGCCAGCAATTAACAAGAGCCCACATGTTGCACTCAGTATGAACCAGCAGAGATGACACACTGTCACTGTCACTACTGCTGAAACTCGCCACCGACACTCACTGTGCTCACATTCACTGTTTGGTCAGCAAGCATCAATGAATGTCAGTGGGTGCCATTTTTTCTGCATAGAGGAATTCAGTGACACACCTTTGCTTCATATGGCCTTCCATGTCAGACCCTTACTGCCATCTGTCACATGGCAACAACATGTAATGGGATATTGGCAGGAAGATTCAGCCTCTACTGCCTTTTCCACAACATCCTCCTCTGAAGTCATGGGCCACCATAATAAAATATGAGACATTTGTTTTGGAGCTGCCTTTGTATCTTTGCATGTAGTCTCTCTGAACTTCTCCTTGATTAGCCTAAAGACCGACTGCAGATAAATATTATTTTTGTCTCTTTGTGGCTAATTTCTTCCCCTGCATTTACCCATGGCCTGCTAACCAGAAGAGATTCAGGACTCAAATCTGCTTTTTTGTGTATGCAGGTAAACAGGTTCAATGCCACAAAAATCACATGGGCTACAATGCATTTATGAAATATTGAATGTTTCTGTAAAGCTATTGCATGCGGCTGTGTGGTTTCAGCCCAATTTCCAGGTCAGACACAGCATGCTCTGATGCCTCCTTGTCTGGTTTGAGGTTCCAATGCTACATCTATTGTGTTGCAGGTGAGATCGTGAGCCCTCTGACTGAAAGAACAGCCCTTGAAGTAGCAAGCAGCACACAGCTTGCTCCTGAAGCAAGCTCTGCAGCCTCTGCCTTCCCCACCATCACTGCAGGCTCTGAGATGAGCACCATCACACACCACCTTGCTGTACTGCCGCTGAGTGAGGGGCAAACACACCCCCACCACTCCACCACCAGCACTCCTCCAGCCACTTGGAATAAAAGCCTGACTCCACACATGGCCAGAGACAATAGCCCCACAGCTGTGACTGCAGAGCAGCAGACCACCACTAATCCATCACAGCAGAGCTCATTGGCTGAGTCTTCTCCTTGTACATTGCAGCAAGTGGCCACTCTCACAAATGCATCCACTGGCATAGACAAGCAAGAGCAACATAGTTCTCCATTGCCAAGGTTATCAAACCAGACAGTCTTCGATATCTCTGGAAGTCATGCAGCTTTTGAAGAGCCACAAGTCCACTCTCAAGATGGCCCCGTCACAGCTCTGTCAGCCACAGGAGATGCAGGAGCTTCCATTCTCGGTGCCACTCTCAACACACACACACAGACACGAAGAGAGAGCAGCTCTTGGGCTGCGAATCACACCACAGCCCTGGGGTCACCAGCTCTGCCAGGCTTCTCCTTGCCTCCCAGATCAATTCCAAGCCCAGCCATGGACCACAGTGAGTATGCATTCAGCTGGGCATGCATGCATGGCAGTATGACTGCATGAGAAGGAAAACTTCACCAGAGTCCAGAAAGATGCACAATTTTCTCAGTGATCTGGGTTGAAGGTGGCTGAAATTAGCCTGTCTATGTCAGAATTATTTCCCTGCAGGAACTGGTACTCTTTTCTAAATTGATATGTCATAATAATTTCACTTTCAGGTGATAGCTTTATCAATGTTACATTTCCTCTTCCCAAAGCAGATGAAGCAAATCATACAGTGTTCTAAGTGTTCTAAGTGTGGCTCATGGAAATATATACTACTTGCTCTGCCACTACTTGCTCTATAGCAGCAGCCCACAGTTATCTCTTTTTTTTTTTTTTTTTCTTTTTTTTTTTTTTTTTTGCTATAGGAATGCTACCATGTCTGCTCATCACTGAAAATATTTTTTCTTTAGTGCATTAGCTACTGGTATCTATTTATGTTTTGTTTCAGCTTATCCTTGCTCTTTCCATCATGCCTTCCACATCTCCCTGACCCCAAACCATACTCCTCTGTTCTTTTCCCTTCCCTACAATCTCCTGTTCCTGAAGGCCTCCATTGCCCCAGCCCCACTTCTGATTTCTGTGTTCTTTTCTCCTTGGAAACTCTGTTTTTTGGCCATGCGGATCCAGATCTGTTACTTCTCCAACTTCTCTTATGCCACCAGCACATCACCAGGCCTGATCACTGGTGCCACAGAGTCCACATATCCCATCCTGCTGTCCTGGACAGCAGCTATGCCAGTTTCTCTTTTCTTCTCTTGCCTTCTCTCTTGTTGCATCCTTTGTTGCCCAGCATTGGCAAGACCGAGGAACAGAGGCAGGCATGTAACCTGTTTGGGAGCTTGCTGACCAAATGGGAGAAAGAATAATTTTGAATTCAACATATTGAATTGAAAAGCTCCATTTACTGCTTAAGTTTTTTAGCTTTTCTTTTTTTCTTGTTCCTGAGGATCAAGAGGAGCACCACAGGAGTGTCTCACCAGCTGGAGGCAGGAAATTGAGAGGGCAAAGCCCCACATTTGGTGAAATTTAACATAGAGCTCCTCCTTGTGGCAACATCTCTGACCTGGAAGATTAACAGCCAACCCTTCGTAGTCTGTTCATGTCTTTTAAACACCTATATATATATATGTATTTATATACGTATATATCTGTATATAGCCATTTGAAAATTGTTCAGAACATTTTCCCTTCTCTCTATCAGATAAAAGTGGTTTATATCCTAAATACCTATGAAATACCTATGCTTACAGTGCAGCACAATCCACAGCACAAAGCAAACCCCAAGTCTTTGATCTTTCTTGTGGTGATGGTGGTGGTTGTTGTTAGGGTTCCTTTGGGGTTAAGAAGTATACTGGGACAAAGGAAGCCTTTTTTTGTGGCTTCTTTAAGGAGGCATGACTTTCCTCTCCTCTGCAATGCTTCTCTTGATGCTTCACTTGCTTCTTCCAGCACTTGTCCCAGCTCAAAAGATTGTATCCAGTATGACTAGGACAGACTTTGATGCAGTGTGATCTATACAGTCTATGCAGAGCCCTGCTTTTCCATTATTGTTCCATCAGAAAACGCAGTTAATATGGAGAGTAAAGCTCAGTGTAGGAGTCTGACAGTATCAGGGCTGGAAATTAATGTCTTATGCACTCTTGAAATCAGGACAGAAATATATAGGGAGGAAAGTAAGATGGTACAAAAGAAAGCAAAACTGGTAACTTGATTCAGAAATAATTTTAAGGTGAAACCTTAGGTGGTTGCATTCTTGGAGTCTTTGGTAAAAACTATCCCATATTCATAAATGACATTATTGTGTTAGAATTTGCTAAATCTAAGAGTGATTTGTTAGCAGATGTGAAGGTAATTGGGTGACGATGGTTATGGGATTGGGTGATATCAGTCAGCTTGTCTGGTCAGCCAATAAAAAGATGCTAGAGGTATGAATCATGTCTTCAGAAATGCTTTCTGTTCTGCCTGTGATCACCTTCAGTGCCTGTGGTAATAATGCCAAAAACAGTGATATCAAAAAATGACCTAAAATATTTGAGATCATGTTAATGTGATTCAGCACACACAGCTTCAGAGAGTAGATGTTTACTCTCTTGGATTAATCTTATTTTACACTGTCTAAAATGTTGAAGTGTAATCCCAGGCAGCTGGCAAGCCTTCCTGTGAGGCTGGAGGGAAGGACTTGGAAAGGTTTGCCCTCCAGAGGGGCTGGTGTGTTCCCAATACAAATAGAGTTGAGATAGGAGCTGAGGTTGGAAGAGAAGTTCAGTGCCCTAGCACTGCCATAGAGAAACATTCCAGAAGTCCCAGAGCATGTGAGGTAGAGCTGACAGCTCCAAGTCATATGGGAAGTCTGTCCTTCTTGAGAGGCATCCAGAAGCCAGAAAAAGTAGACTCTGCTACTGGACACCTGTGCTGAAGCTATGTTTTAGATAGCTAGTCTTTGGCAGTTGTGTGTACTCATGTGGCCAGGCATGCTTGGGACTGTCAACAAACCATGGAATATGTAATACAATTGACTTCTTTTTTACTCTGCAGCTTTCCAGAAACTTAATGGAATGGTGCGGATAACAAATGTGAAATACTCACCAGGCTTTAGCAATGCAAGCAGTGAGGAATATCAAAACTTTGCACAGCTCTTTATTGATGAGGTAAGTGGCTAAAAAGGATGTGACCACGTGCGTAATCTTTTTTCCATGAAGGGTATATGCCACATAAGCATCCCTCAATGCACCTATGAGATCTGACTCCCATTGAGTGAGCCTGCAGCAGTGTTTTAGGCTGAGACAAGGATCTGGGATTCTCTGGAGCCTCTGTTTCCTCTGCTTCCTGTGTCTAGTTATACAGGTTTATTTATTTCCTCCAGGGATACACTGAAATGTTAATGAATATTTGCACAGTGCTGCATTAACCTTGCCCTGTGCATCACTGTATTAATGAACGTTGTGATCATTATTACCCTTTGTCACAGGCTGACATTGCTTCCAATCATCCTTTGTTGTAACCCTGTATCTGCAAAGGGTGTGGTTTCTTGTGAAGTCACCTCTGCCCTCGCCTCTAATTAGAGCACAGGACATCAAAGCACACAGCCATGTCAGTTCCTCCTTCAGCACACTCTTAATGCCCAGATATTGCCTCTGACAGCATTGCTCTTATCATTTCTTGGTTAATTTTATCAGAAGTGTGTTCCTGCTGATGTTTGCTCAAACACATCTGTGCTTGGAAAACCTCTGGTTATGCTGGGCTGCTTTATTGCTTTCTTGGATGATAGATCCAATACTGACCATTGTTTGCCTCTTCAAACACTGCAGAGGTCTCCTCAGCCTCTCACTGTGGTCAGACCTACAGTCTGACAGCAAACACACCTTCTGCAGGACACTTACTGGCAACTCTTGGTAGTCAGGCAGAGGTCAGGCCAACACGAAATTGGAGAACACCCTAAGAAGGAAACTGTGTGCTCTGTTTAGCTGTGCATGGTGTTTTCTCAGATGTCATATAGGTTTCCCACTGGTTGTTACTGGTTTGCATCTTTCTAGATGTGTTAGCACACCACAGCTTTCTCTGTGTTGTTTCAGTCCCAAGCTGTCACATCAGAAAAGCAGCCACAGAGTGAAAGGGATGTGATTAGCAAAGTGAAGAGGGAGCAGCTCTCCTCTGACCTCACTTCCATTTAGCATCACTTGCTGCCTGAGGCTATTTTGCAATAGCACGTTATTAAAAAGGGCTAAAATGAATGTATTTTCTTTGTGAGCTGCTCATTGGGATGCCTTAATTCAGCAAGTCATGGATCCAAGTTGGTATGGAGAATCTGTAACATGATTATATAAAAGAACCAGATTAGGTTTTGTGTGGGTTTTACCCAGTTCTCAAAGTTTCAGTTGGAAAAAGAATACTTGTGATTATAAGGCACACTCTCCTTTTTCTAGCACTCCAATTCTGTGGACCAACTACAGGTGAGCTGTGTTAATGATTCCATCTACCCCTGTGCCACTGCCTATAGCTCTAACAATCTCAGAGGAGATTCAGGTTGGATATTAGGAAGGATTTCTTCTCAGAAGGAGTGGTAAGATACTGGAAAGGCTGCCCAGGGAACTGTGTGGATGTGGCACTGAGGGACAAGGTTAGTGGGCATAGTGGAGATGGGCTGATGATTGAACTAGGTGATTTTAGTGGTCTTTTCCAACCTTAGTGATGCTATGATTCTATAAACTTCATCAAAATGTGCCATGAGTGTTTTATTACAAATGTTGTTTGACACCAAAGTAAGGGAAGTTCAGGAAAAAAAAGGTCAGCATATTCCTTGTCCAGATTGCAAGGGCCAGAAATTGATTCTTTTAAAGTATGAAGGGAAAGTTTCAGAGATTTTAAAAGCATTCTCAAATTCCAGTTAAATAAATTTTGCTGAAGATTTTGCTTAAACTTCTTTGGAGTTACCATCTACAATTGAGAGGATTTATAAGCCTTAATGTGTATAATGGTCTTCTGTGTAGAGCTGCCCTAGCACTTAAATGCCACGTGGTGAAACTGGCAGCGCAGCAAAAAGAAATGCTGTCCCTTAAATAATGTGTAGATGAAAGCAAGGTAATAACTTGATGTGACAATTTGCACTGTCATTGTCCAGACTAGCTCCATCATCCTACTTGTACTGCACCTGAAGAACAATGTAGCTAAGGGTAAGAAAGTCTTTTAGTCTTCTTTGCTACAGCCAAGAAGAAAATCATGACAGCTAGGGCTTGCCCTCAAGAAAATGAGTGAGGAATACGAAAAGTGTGAATTGAGAATGTGCTCACTGATATGTATTAAATTCCAGAATGCAAAAGGTTGGTTTGAATTCTAGTGTCTTAAATACTGTCTGACACACAGTGGGAAACTAATAACTGGCAATGCCTTGTCAAGGTGACCTCTCATTTGAAACTGACACAGCCTTCATTTTATATAGCTTAATGTACTTAAAATAATTGCATTCAAAGCTATCTGAGTGTGCAGTGAAATTTGATACAGGGATTAAGGCATCTACACAATTAGAGTGTAGTTGTCTTATTTTATTAGGGTCATTCCCTTCGCTTGGTACTGGCATTTGTTCTACTGGTGTTGCCTTGCTCTCCTGGGGTTCTCTTCTGGCACACCTATTTCTCCTGGTTTGGTTCTGCTGTGTTTTGTGTGTGCTGCAGAAATAGTAGCAACAACAGATACAAGATATTTCATTTTTCTAGTGAGAAAAATGGAAGTTTCTTTTAAAAATTTCTCTTCTCAGTCTTTTTAAGCCCTGCTTCATCAACAATTATGTTGGTAGCCCAGGGTGTGGTGCATATAGTGAAGTCCGGCAGTCTTCTGAATAAAGGGTTTTGCAGTGTCACCTAGTGGCTAAATACAAGTACAGATGAATATCACAGTGATGCTTTTTGAGCTCTGAGTCCTCTGTAACGAAAAATGTGTATAAGGGCAGAAACAAACAAACAAAAAGCAAGCGACCAACCAAGCATCCCAAAACTAAGTCACAGGGAAGCACCAATAAAACAAAACAAAAAAACTTCAGGAGAAAGCTGAGAAGGAAATAGAGTTGAGATTGGGAATGAACTGAGCTCTCTCTGAAATCAGTGAGTGTCCAGAAGTTCAGGAAAAAAAAAAAAAAAAAAAAGAAAAAAGATTAAAATACAAAATCTTAGAGCCTACCACTAACAATTCAGTATGGATATTGGCAGAAATTTCTTCTCAGGAAAAGGTGAGGCAGTAGCACAGGCTGCCCAAGGAGGTGGTGGAGTCACCGTCTCTGTGGAGGTGCTCAAGAAACGTGTGGATGTGGCACTGAGGGACGTGGGCAGTGGGCATGGTGGGAGTAAGCTGGTAGTTGGGTTGGGAGATCGTAGAGGTCTTTCCAACCTTAATGATTCTATGAAATTGTTGTGAAAGGGCAGAAAGGGAGAAGGGACTGTGTCCTGAAGCCCTGTGGCTTAGGGGAACAGGGATTTTGGGGCTGCCCAGGCTTTCCCAGTGAGGTTGCCTGTTGCATTCTCCCAGCTCTGCCTGCACACCCGCATGGGGCACTGCAAGCTTTGTTGCATAGGGCTTATTGGTATGTGGGAGCCCTTTTGTGGGTGCAAGCAGAAGGTTTGCTCCATACAATGCAGTTAATTCCAGCAACTCAAAAAAGGGCTACAGCATGCCTGCAGAGCTTGTTCTGCTTGGCTGGATAATACACAGTGGACAGATGCATCTGCTTTGACACATAGAGTTGTAGTCACCTGAGACAATCCAGGAAAAACGAACAAACAAACAAAAAACCCCCAAAACCTGCACATGGGCTATGTGCACAGGTGTGAGAGAAATGAGGATTCTGACAGTTGTCTTGTCAGCTCCCACAGCTGCCCTATTGACTCTTCCTAGGCTTTCTCTGGCAGCAGCCACGGCCTATGCCCTGAGCATTGCTCCACTGACACCAGCTCTGTCTGACCTCGTGGCTGAGCTCCAGCCCTTCTGCTGCAGATATTTCCTGCAGGAGATGTATAGAGGAAGAAGGGGTTGGAGGTGATCACAGCACAGTCCCCACCCACCCCCTTAATGCTCTAGGAAGCTGAGCAAGGGAAGGAAGTGCCTGTTGTATCCTGAAGAGATGGTCTTAGAGTAGAGCAGGGATGTGAGCTGCCAATTTACTGTTGCATTTCTGTTGGCAGTTTCTAAGCATGATTATAAAACTGACAGCTCAGGACCACCTGATTCAGGCTTGGAAGTGATGATCCACTCTTTCTTTTGCTGCACCTTTTAGTTGTAAGTGTGAAAGAATGCAGTAAGACCTCCCCGACGTGTGGGGAAAAGATGTTATGAAACAGAGGGGATCTGTGAGCATCCCCAAGACCTAGTGGAAAAAGTCACAGTGTTGATGGGTGGTATCACACAGTCTGTGCCTACACTGGCACCTGGCCTTCGGATGTGCACTGCACTCCGTGTGCAATGTGGTTGGATGCTGGTGCCAGACAGGTGTACAAGCCTGTGTGTGTGTGTGTTCTCTGTGTCCCCTTGGGGGACCTCTGCAGGTAGGAAGGGAATCCTGTTCAGTCCTGTGTGGGCAATTAGATTAAAACAATTAAGGGAAGACTTGTGGATGTTTTCCAGTTTCTCTGAGACAAGTCTGTCCTTCTGTGTAAAATGATTTCTCAACATACTCTTTACAGCTGTACTCTAATTATCAGCCTTCTGTCTCATCTTAGGTTGGTCCTGCTAGACAATGCCATCTGGCCTGTGTCTGTTCTTCCTCTGACTGGTGCTGAGCCTGGAGATGGAGGGCAATGGTACTGCAAATGCCAAAATTGATGTTTGTCCCTGGGCTCTTATGTGTGCCTGACAGACTTGTCCCATTGCCACTCTAATACAGGAGAAGTTCCTATGGATGGCTGCCCTGCATAGGTACCGAAAGGGGCAGTTCAGGTTGGATATTAGGAAGAATTTCTTTTCAGAAAAATGATGAGGCACTGAAATGCGTTGCCCAGGGAGGTGGTGGAAGTATTCAAGGATCACGTGGATCTGTCACTGAGGGACATGAGTGGGCACGGTGGAGACATTGGTAGGTGGATGAGATGATTTAGAAGCTTTTTCCAACCTCAATGATTCTGTGATTCTGTGAAAACTGGAAGAGAAGGTCAAATCTACATCTCCAGTCTCTTCAGCTCTCTAATTTCTATTCTCTGAATGAGAGATGAAGAAGCTGAGTAGCCCAACAGATGCAAAACCTCAAGCAGAGCTATGTGGTACTGTCCTGTATAAAGCTGACTGTCCTGCTCTCTAGTGTACTGTCAAGGCTGTTTCTAGGCTGCCCAAAGCTAAGGCCCAGTGTGTTTTGGCACAGGTGATGTTTTCTCTCTTTGGCTGCTAGTGAGTTGCAAGGTGACTGTATACAACACCGTAAACTTTACTGACTTCTCCAGGATGCCCTCAGCTCAGTCAAGGCTTAACACTGCATTGCTTTGAGGGAGACTGTCCCCATTCAAAGTGTTGTGGAGCCATTCCTTAGCCTGGCTCTTGGATGCTCAGGGAGGATTTGTGATCCACCTTGTATGGTGTTCAAGAAGGCTAAATGTTGTGTGCTACACTTGGGTCATGACAACTCTTTGAAGCGTGGCTTTGGGGAAGAGTGGCTGGGAAGCTGTCTGACAGAAAAGGTCCCAGGGTCACTGGTCAACATGAGTCAGCAGTGAGCCTAGGTGGCCAAGAAAGCCAATGGCATCCTGGCCTGCATCAGAAATCACATGGCCAGCAGGACTAGGGAAATGATTGTCCTCTTGTGCAGCACCACTGACACTGTATCTCAAGCAGTGTGCTAAGTTTTGGACCCATCACTACAAGAAGGCCACTTGACTTATTGGAACATGTTCAGAGAAGAGCAGTGAATCTGGTAAAGGGATGAGAAAATGACATATGAGAAATGGCTGAGGGAACTGTGGCTTTTCAGTCTGGAGGATTTTGAGCGCAGACCTCATCACTCTCTACAATCATCTGCAAGGAGATGGTAGCGAGCTGGCTGCCAGTTTCTATTCTTGCATCCTATCACCTGTCACCTGAGTAAATGGCCTCAAATTGTATCGGGAGAGGCTTAAATTGGATGTCAGGAAGAATGTCTTCACAGAAGGACTGGTGAGGCATTGGGAAGGGCTGCCCAGTGAAGTGATGGTGTTCCCATTCCTGAAGGTACTTAAGATATATGTAGATATGTTGCTTAGGGATGTGGTTTAGTGGTGGGGTAGATATAGTGTTATGTGATGATTGGACTTGATCTTACAGGTTTTTCCAACCTAAGTGATTTTACGATTCTGCATTCCTGCAATTTTTTCTCTCCCCTGCTGTTATCAGAGGCCTTTGCAAGGAGTTGTGCCAAATGACAGATGAAGTACCTTAATCACTTCTTTAATGCTCACAGTTAAATATATGCCCTATCCTTCAGCTACTATAGAGTGAAAATATTATAAAGCAAAGAGTAATTTTTAATGTTGTTTCCCTCCAGAGTATGAAGCACAATCGTAATGTGTAATATTCTTTTCTGGGCAATGTACAATGCCTGAAGTATAATTGCTTCTATCTACTCATTAAAATTCTATCTACACATTAAAATTGTGTACTTTGTTTTCATTCCAGGTACATAAATCTCTGCCCCTTGACGTCCTTCAGCAGATGGATGCTGGTCTGATTAAAGTGTTGATAACTGATATTACTAATGGGAGCACTGTGGTAAGTTTCCATTTACTGATTGCAGAAGATGTGGATATCTACTACATCATCACCACTTTTCGTGATGCAATTGAACACAGCTCCTATTTCACAGTTGACAAGAACAGTCTCTCCATAAATGGTAAGGAGCTGCTTACAGCCCAATTGTTCTTCAGAGCTAGAAAGATCATAAAGCCTATTATTATTGTGGTTTCTTTTTACGTGAAAATATCTGTGAAACAAATGGATGAGAAACCATTCTCTGTTTTATATTGCTTCTAATTATCCATCCAATAAGCTTTTTCAGAAAACATCAAAAGATAAGAAGAGAGGTTTCACCTGATCAGAACAAACTCATCTCTTTGTCTCTAGCTAGCAATAATTTTATAGAGAAGGAAGATATGGAGTTATTAGAAACTGTAACAAACTGATGGTTTTATTAGCCACGAGTGGAAACGTGTCATTGTACACAGACATAGTTAACTTCATTTAAAATTATTCTGAGACACATTACTCTCTGCATTGCACTGATAATTTTGAATAAGATAGAAATGCAAGGCTCAAATAAATGAAAATTCCTGCACTGGGAGTATGCGTTTCCTTTGCTCACCTCCGGGCCAGGAGTTCGGATGAAAGTAAACAGTTTGTCAAGATGAGCACAATGGCTTATTGTTGAATCTCTTTTTCCTTATGAGATCTAAGTCAGTAACAATAAACAGTAGTCTCCTGACTAACTACTGTTGAATCCTGTTCCACAAACTGATGTGTCATCTCTGAAAGCAATATCAAGTTATATATCCTGAATGTGATAAGTTTGCCCAAATGTTATTGTTACAAGCTGCCAATTAAAATCTCAGGCAAAATGACATCAAAAGCAAGTACGTGGCCTGCTCTGTACATTCCTGTTGCCTGTTATCCTTGCAACGGTGAATCTGGGAAGTTGCACCTCAGGTTAATTTCTAAGATCGTGGCTAACTCATGGTAGTGCTTTGTGGGGTGCCTACCCCTTGAACCTGCTTCAGAAATACCATGTTTCCATTTATACACTCTTCATCTTTGCCTTTTGCTTAAATATACCCAACAGATTATGATGAGTGCAAGAACAAAGAAGATGATTGCTCCCCAGATGCATCATGTTATAACACACTTGGATTTTACCACTGTAGTTGCAATGATGGATTTGCCGATGTGCATCCAGAAAGACCTGGAAGAAACTGTGCAGGCAATTTTTTCTTACTATCTAATAGCTAAATGAACTCTGAGCACTGTTGGATCAAGGTCATTCTTGCCACAGGCCCTGAAATTTTGCCAAGGTTGAATTTGATTTGTTGTATGCATGCTAACGGAGAAAGACTTGCAGTGGAGTTTATGTATTTCTGACTGCAATAATCTCTTGTTTGATTATATTAATGTTTAATGCTATCTTTGTAAGAGTCTTCCATTAGTTCTGTTTTCTCATTTTTGCCATTAGAAGTATGTTATTTTCATTGGCAGTAAGGTAGTAGAAAGCAGTTGCATGGTATGATCTCTGTATTGCCTGAGGGATGAAAAGTTAGTACAGTATGATAAATGACTGTTTTGAATTAGTTGATTCATCTAGCTTCTTCTGTCTTTCCTTGAATCATTTGTAAGCTGACATATAATCAGTTTTTGAGCTTCTAAATCCTTTTAGGCTTCTTCCATAATTTGTGCTTGTTTTTGCAGCCATAGTGATAAGCTACTCATTGGCTGAAGAAATCACAAGGATCTGTGAGCTGATACCAACTTTTGCTCTGTTTTGTTGAACTATCACATTTATTATGATAATGAGCTTTTGGGAAATTCTGTTTGGAAAGAGCACAAACTTCAAATTCTGCTTACATTCAAATCCACAACTTTTCAATTTGGGGCACTCCTGAAAACTGGAAAGCTCCAGAGGATGTGTGCATATATATACATCTACGTTGCTTGGGAAAAAAAAATGTCATTTGCATTTGCAGTCAATTAAAAACTGCTTAAGAGAATTTTTGTGCCATGAGAGACATCCTGTTCCACTGCAAACTAAGTTTATTATATAGGTGCTCTCTAAGTCTTTTGGTGAAGTACTGGCACAGGTTGACCTGAGAGGTGGTGGATGCCTCATCCCTGAAGACATCCAAGGACAGGCTGGACAGGGCTCTGAGCAACTTGATGTACTGTAGGTGTCCCTGTTCACTGCAGGGGAGTTGGACCAGATAGTCTATTAGGGTCCCTTCCAACTCATACCATTCTCTGATTCTGAGTCAGACACAAAGGTTATTTCTAGTACCAAAGTGCCATGGGGTAACCCTAGAGTCTGTGCTGAAAGCAGTGTGTTTGACATACATGCTGATCTCAATCTCTGCTTTTCCTTTTCCCCTGCTTGCCTTCTTCCTAGAATCATAACAGATTCCAACCAGTGTCTTCGTTAACTGCCAACTGTATCTCTCCAGGCAAATGTGTGCAAGATGGACCTGCTGCATAAAGTTTGTCCTGCATGTCCCTCATAAGTGGTGTTTCCAAAGCACTCAGTATAATATTTTCTGGATAAAATTGCCCAAAAGGGGACCAGAATTTTAAACAAATTCTGCTCCTGTTTATATCCCACAGCCAGAGGTGTGCCATGGAACTAGGCAAAAAGTTTTGAACACTTGCTCAGACGCTTGCAATTGAGGATCTCCTGCAAGTCCTGATCATCCAAAAGCTGTGTATATGTGCTTTGCTCAAGCATACTAGTTATTGCAGCTCTCATGAGATAAAACACTTTGGCCTTTCTCACAAGTGCTTTATGGGTTATTTCTTAAAAAACATAAAAAATTAAAAAAAAAGCCAAAAATAAAAAAAAAAAAAGAAAGCTGTGGCAGTACGTATAGCTGGTTAAAAAGGCTACTTCTGTATTTCCTATCTTTCTGCCAGTAACTGTGAGTTTCCTCAGATAGGTTTGCTTTTATGTTATCAAATCAATCTGAATCTGTAAATTACTTGAGTACCTTTATTTTTGTTACTCTTCAGCATTTCCTACGAGCCAGGAGGGAACTGTGGTGGACAGGAAGCCTGTACCCAGCCCAGTTTTACCTGTGGCATCTTTGGAGACTTCAACTTATATTTCCTCCATTGCTTCATTGAACTTATCTGCTACTCAAAACAAAGCTCTGGAAGACACCCCATTCTCCAGTGTGACACTACCTGTTCTTACCATGGGTTCTGAGTCAGCCTACAATGTTCCTCCTCAAGCATCTCCTGCCCCCCTCATTAAGTCTGCCCAGGAGGTTTCCATCAAAGATGCAGTGACAGTGTTCTGTGAAATTGAGAAGACCATTCTTGCCATCCAAAAGGGATTTTTACTTCAGGAATCCATCCCTGAATCCTCTCTGTACCTGGGGGAGCCTCTTTGCAACGTGAGCATCAGCAATGGCACTCATGCTGTGCTGCAGGCTGGCTGGAGCGAGTGTGGCACGGAAGTTGAGACTGTAAGTACCCTGAGCTAGGGAAAGCCAAGAAGACCCAGAGCACTCACTTTCCCTCTCTGAAAGGGGCAATGGCAGTTGCCCATCTAGGGGTACAGTCTGTTCATTGCTGAAGTGTTGGGCAAATAAATGTCTTTGGAAAAAGAAAACCCTTTAATGTGAGTAGAAAGTTGCCCATGTGTTTGGGGCAGAGGGCAAGCAAGAAAGAGCATCTCTGGTGTTCAGCAGGAAAGCTCAAGAGCCTCTCCAAGCCAAAATCCCCTTTTTCTACCTCTCTGGGCTTTCTCTGCAGCTGCCAGAATCTTCTTTTTTCTTAAGAGAAATTTCAGTATCATACTTAGAAAACACCTCAGTTCCTCCCAATAATTAGAAGCTGTAGATGCCTCTATGGATCCCAAAACAAATTTTTCACTCAGACCACGCCAAATTGCATGTACAGAAATTGCCTTGTGGAGCAGTGATCAAGTTATGCTTTCTCTTTTTCTGTGTTCCAGAATGTGACTAACACCATAGTGAAAACCGTGCTACGGAATGATGATTCTGCTTTCCACCACTTAAAAGTTGCCAGTCCTATTCATTGTGTGTTTCAAAACAATCTCTTGACTTCCTCTGGATACACTGCAGAAGGGTAAGGAGTATCTGTGCTTTGAAATGCTGGCGTACTGCATGACCATTATCTGGACAAGCCATAGCTGAAAATAAAATTTTGGGAGCTACTGGTGCATCTCTGGGAGACAGGATTCCTGCCCTTTGCCTTCCTGGGCAATCACATGTAGCCATAAGTAGTAGCAGCATACTAACACGGAATCAAATCTACTGTTTATGCTCTCAGAAAAGGCAGAAGTTCAAGCTTTGCTCTGCTGGTCAATGTTCTCCGTCTGTACAAATCCTTCTCCAGTCCCTTCTCTCTAAGCTGTCTAATTTTCTAATGTCTTTCACACACTGTTCAAATGTGTTTCTTTTCCTCTCTTACCTTCTGTGCTATGCTTTTATTGACCTTATTTGGGCCTTTAAGACAGATCATAGTCTTGTAGCCCTTCAAGACTACTCAAATATCTATCTGCTCTATTTGTATTGCCATGACATTCTACACTTGAGTTCTTCCTCTTGCATTTCCATGCTTCCTAACACTCCAGCAGAAAACTTGATGCATCTTCCCCCTTTTCTCTTAAACATTTCCCTACTATCCTAGATTGCAGATAACTTTTCACTACTTAAATGCACAAGAGTTTGAGGCACCATTTTATGACTTACTGAAGCAGTTGAACCTGTGGTCTTTAAAAAAAAAAAAAAATCAAATTGTTGTTTCAGAATTTACACTATTTTTGAGGATTTACATGGATCTGGACGCTTCAGAACAGAAATGCAGTTATTTATTGGAAACTCCCCAATACCAAAAAATTTCAGTATCTCTGCCAGTGATGATGTCCTGATTGAAGTGGGGATTCAGAGAGATGACAGCAAGCTGAAAGTGGTCCTCACTGACTGCTGGGCAACTCCGACCAACAATTCAGTGGATCCCCTCTCGTTTGCTTTTATCAAGAACAGGTAAAGCAAATGTCACTTGGAAATAATATGTGCCCTATCTTGAATCTTCCAATGGCATGAACTGTAAATGTGTTTTATTTAAAATATCTTTTCTGTGTGTTTTCTGCATTTATATACACTATCCCTTAATGTTCAACTGGTCAAACATTAGAACAAAGTATGAAGAGAAGTTTTTTTTAAAGTGCAAAGTGGTCATTTTTAGAGTTTGGTTATCTTCCCCATTGTTTCGTAAAGGCATTGTACCTATGACTGGAAGGAATAGATGATTTTCACGGACACCAGTGAAGGAATATTTGAAATGTGTGCTTTACCCATATCTCTATGATTGAGATATTAACAAGATCTTATGTAACTCTCATCACGAAAGGTGTAGGTTGATTGACACAGACAATATCAATGCAGCCTCTGGTAAAGGAGAATGCTTGTTCCTGTCTGGATCCCCAAATTCACCTTGACATCATGTTCCCTATGTTCACTTTCCATCTGAAAACTCAGGATGGTCATTTTTCTTAGCAACAAAAAGTATTCCCACTAATAAGTTGTTGGTTTCACTTTGTGTTTGGTGAAGCCAACTTAAGTGCTCTCTGGCACTCTTTCTCTTCTTTTCCATCCCCACAACTACCTCTTGTATCTCCTATTCTATTTGCTGTCTGTGATAGTAAAGCAGCAATAGTTCCTTATCCTTCCTATGCTATATCCACAACATGACTCAAGTTCTTTACAGAGAGAGTGGTGAGGTGCTGGCACAGGCTGCCCAGAGAGGTTGTGGATGTCCCATCTCTGGAGATGTTCAAGGCCAGGTTGGATGGGGCCCTGGGCAGCCTGGTCTAGTATTAAATGTGAAGGTTGGTAGCCCTTGCATGTGGCAGGGGGGTTGGAGATTCATGATCCTTGAGGTCCCTTCCAACCCTGGCCATTCTGTGACTTCTATAGCTGCTATGTGTAATTTTCTCCTCCTTTTCAGCTGTCCTATTCCAAATGCATACACCACGCTTCTAGAGAATGGAAATTCAAGCAAAGCACAGTTTAAGATGAAGATTTTTTCCTTTGTCAACAACTCTGTAGTTTATCTACACTGCAAAATTCGTATCTGCATGGAGACACGGGGAAGCACCTGCAGGACAGTAAGGGTTTTGCTGTGTGCTGTTAGTCTCTGATGTGCCTTGTGCGGTCCTTCTGTGTAACTGAAGGAATCGTGTTTCCAAACTGGGTTTAAAATATCTCCTTCATCCTCTACTGAGAGCAGGGGGGAATGGGGAAGAACTACAGCCATATGGAAGTGTCTCCCCTTTCTTCCTATTTCAAATCCTTGTAGGTAGAAGCGTGGATTGTGCACAGCAATGGGTGCTAAAAGGCTGTGGGACTTGGAGACTGAACCTTTCACCTCATCCTAGGGGTGGCTGGAAGGCAATGTGTCAGATCACATAGGCATGTCACAAACAGTTACCACCCATATTGGCAGTTTCAGTGTGAATGTCTAAGCAAATGGATTTGGAATGCCTTTCTGTCCTTTCTTCTTCCCCTTGAGATTTGTTCCTCCAGGTCAGGGTTCAGGTGCTAGGAGAGGAAGCACCACGACATTAAGTTTCTAGGGCTGTGAATCTAATAGATTTTAACAGGGCTTTTAAAAACTCTGCTGCTTTTATGAGTAGTAAATCAAACAATGTTTTCATAAAAAGTTCACTTCCTAACTGTCTTCCTCCAGTGCTTCAAAGCATCATTTCCTTTTAATTCTGCATGAAGATTACACACTGCTTAATCTAAAAATGTGTTGCTACCATGGAAATGAAATAATAATAATAATAATCAGGCTTTGCTGATAACTTTTTTTCCTCTTTTTTTATTTTTTCTTCCCCTTTATGCCCTTTATACAGGAGTTCTCCCTCCTGTCTGCCAACTTTCCTGCTTCTTTTTTTTTTATTTTTCTCCCACTGAGGATGTTTTCATTAAGAGTTTGGTACTCCTCCATTGTTTAACACCTTCCTCTATTCTAAATAACTCAGCTTAAGCTCATTATAAAGTAAATGATCTCTTCCTAAAAGATTAAAAACAGCAAGCTGAAGATACTAGTTTCCTTCCTCAAGCTATAAAGCTTCCCCCAGATTTAAAAAAAAAAAAAAAAAAGATAAAAATAAAATAAGTAGGGTTGAGAAATTTGACAGATGGAAAGATGGTTTCACAGCTGATTTAGAGCATCAGGTATCAGTGTATGAGCAACCCCCAGGCTATGCCCCACTGGGGGGGCTGGATCCTTCCCCAGGTTCGTGGAACGGTTGCACAAGCAGCGTCCTGCAGAGCTGAGAAAGGATGTGGAAGGAGGTGAGAGGCAAGGGAAGAAGAGGGATGGGCAGGACAGGATCTGAACGGGCTGGTATTGCTTCTGTGAGGAATCAAACAGTTGCATTTCTGGTAGGTTTGCTGATAGAGCAGTTTAGCTGCTTGGGATTGAGTTGAGTAACAGACTTACTTGCTCTGTGTTATCTTCTTATTCACTCTTTATTCCTTGTTTTCTTGGAGAAGAGAGTAAGATGCTCTAAAAAATTAGGGAGTATGGTGGTAAGAAATGAGTAGGAAACATGACTTTGGATGGGAAGAAGAAAGCTGTGCTGCCACCACCCATGCACTTGGTGGAACAAGGCTGCTTCACCACCAGCAGGAGCCACGGAACCACTGACCAGGGAACAGCTGTGTGAGCGTATTGTCTAGCTGTGGATCTGTCTGAATGGGAAAGCTGTTCAAGAATAGACCAAAGTTACACCTACAGGGGTATTTTTTGGTGGGCTGGCCTGCCTATGGACACTTACTGGCAGTGGATTATAGAGGTGCCTCAGTGTAACTAGGCTGGTAACACTGGTGAGACATTCTTGTGCAGTCAAGCTTGGTGAGACACCCTTGCACTTCCTTGTTTTCTTATGTTTCTCCGTATTTATATGCATTTCTGGGAAAGCCACAGTATCTTCTGAATAACCTCAGCAGTCTGCTGTTCCCAGTACAGACCTTTAGATTGTGCCTTACAGGACAGCAAACAAACTGAAGGGCACTGCCAAGGAGATGTGCAGAAGAGGAATGTGCTGTGTGTTGCACACATAGACAGAGTGAGAAGCTTTATTCCCCTGTAAGGTTTCTCCAAAACAGAGAGTTAACAGAAAGAAAGAGACTGTCTATGAGCAATCTGTTCACAGCCATGTCTTCCAATCTATCTAACTGCAGATTTTAAACCAGTATTTCCCTAATGCCATTTCCTTTGAACTTTGATTTACTGGCTTCAGTGAAACAAAGCGTAACACTAAGAAACACAAAATTCTGTGGGTCAGAATAGCACTGAGCTTTCACAGACTCTCCAAAAGGTTTTGTGTTATCCGTTAGTCACGACTTGCTGAATTGATTGTTGCAGAGATGCCATGCAGCTCGATCCCTGAAAATCGGTGAAATCGTCGCTACCCACAGAACATCCTGGGGTCCTCTGTGTAAATCTGCCGGTGAGTTACGAATAGATGTTTGCAGAAGGGAGTACAGAGAGTAACCACCATCTTAAGACTCTTTTTCATTGCAAAGGAACCTGAAAACCTATGAAACAAAATCCTCGACATATTTTTCTGAGGAACAGTTCTCGCTGAAGCCGTGTGGCAGCATGAAAAAGTGTGTGCCTTCTGGCAAAGAGACTATCAAATTGTCAAGGGAATGAAAAGGAGAGGAAAAACGTGTAGCTATTTCACAGGGCAGCAAGTACAACAGCCATGAAATCAAGCAGCAATTAAACTAGCAGAGTGCGAAAGTGGTTTGTGACTTAGATTGCAATCAGTTTTTCTAGTGTTTACATTGTACTTAGGTCACAATTATACTGAGCTCTGAATTTCTAAATCAAAGGATGTCAGAGATTGCGTTGCTGTGTTTCCTTAAACTTCCTGATGTTGACTTCGTTATTACTGCGAGGGAAGGTGGAGAGCCTTGCCGACGCATGGCACTTTAGTCAACCTGGAAGAGTGGTGCAGCATAGGTTAACAGACGGTCAACGCCAGTTCTGCATACAAGCAATCTGTTATGCTTTTTCTGCATTTATCCTGAGTTGTGTTAAAGGGCAACCGCTGCTGTTAACATTTGCAATTATTTGGCCTCCTCCAGCCATTTGTATTCATAATGTATTGGCACAAAGCACTCACTGAGAATATTTGTACACACCAACACCATAGTTTTAACACATGGCTACTGGGAATAGACAGAGGTCATCCTCCTTTCTCACTGATTGCCTGTTTTGCAATTGCTTCATGCTCTTCTGACTGTGGGCTGGTAATGGATTTGGGGTATTTTTTTCTCCTATACTGTGATGGTCACAATATTTGTTTGGAATTTGAAACAGACTCTGATTCAGCACATTTAATTTTTCTTCCTCTATGTATAGGTAGGAGTCTGTTAGAGTAGACCTTCAGTGTTCATTTCTCAATAGTTCTTTTTTAAAAACTTATCAATGAATACAGCTTTCTTTGTACAGCATTTGCATCATGTAAGGCTCACTCCCGTTTGCACTGGAGACACTGAAACACTTCTAATACAGCAAAGCAGCCATTGCACAAAAGGACCTGTGGAGATGGGAGCTTTGTTTGGCTTGCATGTTATCAGTTCCTAGACAAAGCTGTTGCAGCCTGGTGCTACAAGATATTGTCTTATATTTCCATACTGGATATTCACATTGCATTTTAAATATGAGGCCAGACATACAGGCTGAAAGAGCTGGGGCTGTTCAGCCTGGAGAAGGCTCTGAAGTGACCTCATAGCGGCCTTTCAGCATCTAAAGGGGAGCTAAAGGAAAGAAGAGGACAGAGTCTTTAGCATGGTCTGTTGTGATGGATCAAGGGAAAATGTTTTCAAGCTCGAAGAGGGTAGATTTAGGTTAGATATTAGCAAAAGTATTTTACAATGAGGTATGATGAGGCACTGGAACAGAATGCCCAGAGATACAGTGGATGCCTTGACCCCTTGGGACTTTCAAGGCAAGGCTGTATCAAGTCCCTGAGCAACCTGATTTAGCTGTGGATGTCCCTGTTCACTGCAGAGGAGTTGGACTAGATGGCCTTTAAAGGTTCCTTCCAACTCTAGAGATTCCATGATTCTACAGACAATGATTTCCTGCTCTGTGTTGAAGTGGAATATGAGCTATTGTGGCAGGTAATCCGCTGCAGTGAAACATGAAATAATTTATCTGTACATCTACCTATATTACTTCCACATAGAAAAGGCCACTGATGCAGGAAGTCCTGTTTTGTCTGTGTTGGGCTACAAGGTACCATTTCCACTGCCCTTTTTTTTTTTTTTACGTACCAACATTCTAACTAAAAATAAATGTATTGTGCAATACTGCCTTGGTCTGTCTTAGAATGATGTCCTGGATGTTGTGTCACTTGGACTGTTATCCTCTGCCTTAGATCCTATTTCTAATTACTGACACGTATGTATCACTCCTTGTTTTCTGCACACCCTGTGTACTATGCAGGAGCATGGGTAGATGAGAATTATCCTGGAAGCATATGAAAACAGAAATGTTTTTGTACATACATCAAACACTTACAAGAATGAATCAGAAGTTTAAAAGAGCATAGACACAAACATAAATATAGTGTTATAGGAGAGGGGAATCTGCTTGCAAATTTGAACAATGATGAGGAAGTGCCTATATGTGAATCAGGTAAATGTGTGCAGATATTGTAGAGACCCTTGGGCTTTTCAGGTGTCACTAAATGTCTAGGCTACAGAGTTGGGTGACTCCTTCAGTGTGGCTCCATTGACTGCAGTGGCCAGATCTCTGCTGCCTAGAAACCATGCACACATGGATAATCTTTCCTTAAACGTTTTGTGTTTAAAGAAGGATTACATAGGTAGGTAAAAGCAAATCAACATTTTTAATAACTACAGATGGACAGAGGCAGGATTAAGATGGAAGAAGACTTCATCTCTGGGGGCATTACAAAAGTAAGATAGCATTTCAAAGTCACCAATCCTCATCCTTTAACTCTTATTTTTTCATAATATTGTAGAGTCAAATTCCCAAGGTATACCATACTAATAATGTCTGTAGGGACACTGCACTTTACATAAAAAAGAGAACTTGGACTTCTCCATGAGAATCACCTTCTTTAAAATGTTGTATCAATGTGATATCACAGTTCTATTGGCTAATCTGTAGGCAAGGTTATACTGCTTGACAAGCTTTGTACCCAAGAAAAAGATTTAGGAATTTCAAAGCTTTTGTCTTTCACCTCTTTTTTTTTTTTTTTTCTTTTAGCATCTGATTCAAAGAGAGAGAAGGAGCCTGGTGTGGGAGTTGGATATATCATCCTCATTGTTATTGCTGTATTTGGCTTTGTGGTGGCAGTTGTGAGCCTTGTCATTTTCCAGTGCAAGCGAAAGATGGGAAGATACAACTTCAGAATCAAGTCTGACAACTTCAGCTACCAAGTGTTCTATGATTAATGACTTCCACATTACCAGATGTAAGTACTGAATCGTGGTAAGTTATTTTCTTTAACTATTCAGCTCTTCATGAAATGGTTAAATAATTGCAGATGAACATCCTCTATGTAAGGGTATTAAACCTCCTAGCCTGTTTGCTGTTGGTGAAGATAATAGAAATATGAAATTCTTATGATTCTTGCCTTTTTTCAGATGCTGCAGAATGTGGAGGAGGATGATAGCCTCCTTTTCCTCATCTTCCTTCATCTCTTTAGTCTCAGTCACCTTTAAAGTGCACCAATGACCACTTCCACAGAAAGTATACCTTTTTCAGTTCTAGACCACAGATTAGTAAAATAAAAGAGGGAAACTGCCCCTCTAACTCATAGAATCACAGAACCATAGAATGGCTTGGGTTGGAAGGGACCTCAAGGATCATCAAGTTCCAACCCCCCTGCCACAGGCAGGGCTACTGCACAAGTTAGTTTGATTCAGAAGTTGTCCCTTTTTGAATATGCTTGGGTTTCACTTTATTTCTCAGCGGGGGCTATTTAAAAAAAAAAATAAAAATGGTGGAATATTAGACATAAAAAACTGAAATGTTGATAATGCTAAAGTAGTTCTTGCAAGAGTCCTCAGAGAGTCCGTATAGACTGCTGTGAAGAGTGTTCATCACTGTAACAAGTGCAGCTTCTGCAATTTTGAAATTTAATGCTTTTCCAGATTCAGGAACAGATTCAGTATAGGATTCAGCACTTTTTTATCTGTAAAATCTAGATGCTCACACCCCTTTTTATGTTTGTGCCTTTAAGAACAGAAAAGAGAGGTGTTGTGAAATAATGCCCGACATTGCTTCATAATTCATGGCTGTTTACTGTGGATCTGATTGCATTTTGTTCTTGGGCAGGGGCTTATCTGTCATTGTTACCACAGTTAAGAACTCCTTCCTGATGGAGGCTTCATACACAAGAATGCAGCTGCTATGACCACAGCAAATTTGCTAGATTCATCATGATGGTATTTGCAGATAATGTAATTTGCTTCACTGAGTGCAGAGTTTCTCACCTAGAAGACAAAGAAAGAAAAGGGAACACTGTACCCAAGCTATCTGCTTATAGAACCTTGAACATTCACTATAAGCTCAATTTCCCCTAAACTTATGTTACAAAGTCCACCTTCCATAGTCAGACACGGCAGCATCTGTGAGGCCTCTGTAGGTGATGGCAATATTCTGATTGCTTCCCAAAGTCTGGGTAGTCTGTCCAGTCTGGAGCTCACTGGGAAGGTAATTTTTCTTCCAGCAGCTGCACAGTTCCATCAAAGACACATGTCCCATAACCCAGCATAAAAACATATCTAGGCCTGTTAAATTAAAAGGTGCATTTAAAGACTCTGAGCCTTTACTCGTTCTGCTCTCTTGAATGGTTGTGAATGATTGCAACACTTGATACACTTGGCACTTGGCAGTTACAGAGTTGTACAATGACATTGTAGCATGAAGGATATTTTCAGGACCACAAATTTATATATAATAAGCATGTTGGAATTTCAGGCAGTGCCTCCTTTTAGATGCTGAAACAACTCATCTCTTCTTCCCTTTACATTTCCCTTTCATTGCATTTCTTATGATTTTTTCTTTTTCTTTTCTAGTTGGACTGTGCCTCATCACAGAGTACTACAGGCTTTCATTACGCTTCATGATGGTGTCCACCAATGATTCCAACACTGGTTCTTAACATCACAAGTAAAGGACTTCTATATCCCTTGTTTTGTTTTGGTAGCAATTTGGCTTTTTCCTAATGTTCAAAGAGCAATTTGTGTCTGCAGCTCCAAGTTAAAGTCAACTTCTTCAGCAGTTTTACATGGCAAAAAGTACAAGAGAAAAAGGAAAGACTTCATGGTTCATGGTTCTCTGTTCAGGTTTCGAGACTGGGTTGTCCCACTGTGCCACACTGCAGTTTTCCCCTCTTAGCATAATTTGTACCATTACACAAGTTACATGTTTCTCTACATATTTCAGGAAGTAAATCGGGAAAACATTAGAGCATTAGAGATTTCATTTTCATTTTGTTATTCACTGTATACTTAAGGTGAGGTTGAAACCTTGAGATGCAGCAACACTGAAGACCTAACTGTGCTACGCCTTAAGTATACAGAAGCTGGAGAACAAGTACTTGATTTATCACCAAATAAAGAAAATGCACAATGAGTCTGTGACTCAACCTGCATGGCGTATTCTTTGACGTGAGTCTTGAGGTTCAACTGTAAATTCTTTAATTGAGAAGGGCTTGGTGAAAAAATAAAAGAAGTAAGTTTTGCTACTAATCCATAAATTTCCATACAGTTCCATTGCTACCTACCTGCTCTGTTTAATTAGACCAGAGTGATTTTGCAGTTGAGGTACAGTGTGCTGCCCAACAAAGTGAGTGCTCCAACTGCGCACAGTAGGTATAAATTTGACCCATATTTTGGCTGCGCTGCAAGACCCTACCATTACTACAGCAGCAGAGGTTTAGTTTTAGTGCTTCAGTGAATACCACAACAATCTGTTCAGCTGGATAAACTGGAACAAAAACATTTTTGACACATGAAGTAGCCCTTGCAGGACTTTTCAGTGAGTGTTTTGGAAGATGGAGAGTATGGTAACTCATCTCTACCACTGCCAGGTTCCAATTGCTGCACACCTCCTGGCCAGTGGTGGAGACTGTTGGGTTGACATCGCAGTAATGCAGACATTTGCACTGAACAAGATAATTCCTTATTAAGTGAAATGAACACTATTATACACAGCTCTCTAGTGGAAATTGGCCATTAGTTTGAACTCACAACTACTCACAACTGCTCATACCAGCCATAGCATTTAGGTGCTGGTACAGAATAGCATTGAAAATCTGCTTTTCTAGTCCCTCTATCCAAATACTGTTAGGTACTAAGACTGCCGGGTAAAAGATTTGGCTTGTGTTTTGTGAAAGGTCAGACTGGTTGATCTTAGAGGTTACACACAGCTTAAAGATCCATAAAGTAATTTTAGGTATATCTTATATATATTCTGTTTTAATTCAAGTGGATCTGTAAGAAGTAAAAATCTTGGACTTGTCTTTTTGTTGCTGAAATATCAGTTCTCAGATCCTGATTAAAAAAAAATCAATTTGATTACAATTCATTAATGAAACTGCAACTTACCTTTGTAATTTTAAAGTCTGATAAACACAGTTGTTAACTTTTTATGATGTAGGTGTCTCCTCACTTTTGCTGTTTGCTGTCAAATATAGGTTTGTTTTCTGTACACAGTGAAAGTTCAATCTATTTTATTAAAAATATTTTTACAGTTTGTGGTGTGTACAATCCTAAACCTCTTCTTGTGGCAGGGCTAGAGATTTGCCTATTGATTTCAGCAGAGCTATACCTTTGATGGAAGCTGAGCAGTTGCTTCTGTTTGATACCATGCAGGCCCAGCAGAAACTGATATTGTGACTATCTGAATAACTGTGTTGTAGTGTCTTAATAAAAGCACTCTCATACCTTATTGTTGGGTTTTGTACTGTTATTTTTTCCTCTAATGCACTAGTTGCAGGTATTAAGGTACATACTGTGTGGATGCAGCATCTTCTGAAGAGCTACTCAAGTGTCAGTACAATATTGAGACCACTCAAAACACAACACGTGTCCTTATCCATTGGTCTGCAACTACCAAGAAGAACCAAATGCATACACCTTGCATATGCTTATTAAGGGTCTATTTCTTGAAGGTTGCAAAGAAGAAACATATTTTCAGTTCCATGCTTTGCAATGAAGATGACCAGGAGTATTCATCACTCACAGCCCTATGACAGAAATCTAGTAATGTGCTGATCCAGTTTGAATCTACTTCTCTGAGGGTTCTAGAAAAGCAGGGAAGAGCACAGCACTTCCTCTCTCATCTGTGCATAGGTGTTGTACAGCTGCTGCTTTTCTTTATTCATCATTTTTTTCTGTCTGCTTTCTTCCAGCAGTCATTATTTTCTTGTTGCTGTGTCCCCTTGTGTCTCCTTCTCATTCTGAGGCACAGAACAGGTTGTTTGATGGAGGTAGTACATACAAGGTGCAGTGTGGTCCCTCCGTACCTACTTATTTCATGTTGTCTGCTGCTTAGAAAAGGCCTGAGTGCTTTGGAAGGATCATTTTAGACACTGTGGTCAGTCCTTCATAGCAGTGATCGGGTGGTTTTACCATTTAAGCAGCTCTGCAACCAAAAAGAACTCTTGTGGTAGAGTAGCACTGACTCCCCCCTTTCCAGTCTCCTGCTGCCCACCTTTTCTGTTAATATCTCTCTAGATAATTATTTGAGACAGAGGTTAAAAAAATGTATGAAAGTAAAATCTGAAGATTTAACTTTGACCTCTAACATTGTTTCCTAAGAGCCACTTTAGATCAGTGGTATGTGTGTTTGTTGTCCCCATTATTCCCTGAGAACACCATAATGCTGACACCTGGTGCAAAACACGTATCATTATTCTTTTCTCTGATATTATGAAGTTGCCAAACTTTGGTCCCTCTGGGTTTGGGAAATAGCTGAGGTAACTGGAAAATTTCCTTGTCCATTAAAACATAAAAGAGAGGACTTTTTAATGCTTGTTCGGAAAGTTTTCTTGTAGGCTGAGGAAGGAAACAAGTTAGAGGAGCTGACAATCTTTAATTGCAATTGAACTAAAAATACAATGTTGCTACAGTCTAATGGAAAAGCCTAGAGCACAGAGCCTCCTAATGGCTGCTTTGGTTTGCTCTGCACTGTCTTGGGGCCTGAACTGCGGGGCTTGTAGCAAATATACAGCTGAGTAGCATCCTCATTATAGAGGTGCTACCTTTCAAAGCTGCTCAGTTTTTTGGCAGACTCTTCCTCTCTTTGCTCTCTCCCAGTGCCGGCAGATGACTTCAGCCTAGGGCTTTCAGGGCTTTTTTTTTTTAATTTGTTTTTTCCCCAATAAAAGGGATTTTTTTCCTCTGAAACTCACAGAAAGAAAAGTTTTAGAGACTTAATACAA